GTGGCCATGATGTAGCTAGGGTAGAGTGGCCATGATGTATCTAGGGTAGAGTGAGCGGCCATGATGTACCTAGGGTAGAGCGGCCATGATGTACCTAGGGTAGAGTGGCCATGATGTACCTAGGGAAGAGAGGCCATGATGTAGCTAGGGTAGATCGGCCATGATGTAGCTAGGGTAGAGTGGCCATGATGTATCTAGGGTAGAGTGAGCGGCCATGAAGTATCTAGGGTAGAGCGGCCATGATGTACCTAGGGTAGAGTGGCCATGATGTACCTAGGGTAGAGTGGCCATGATGTAGCTAGGGTAGAGCGGCCATGATGTACCTAGGGTAGAGTGGCCATGATGTAACTAGGGTAGAGTTGCCATGATGTACCTAGGGTAGAGTGGCCATGATGTACCTAGGGTAGAATGGCCATGATGTACCTAGGGTAGAGTGAGTGGCCATGATGTACCTAGGGTAGAGTGAGCGGCCATGATGAACCTAGGGTAGAGCGACCATGATGTACCTAGGGTAGAGTGTCCATGATGTAGCTAGGGTAGAGCGGCCATGATGTAGCTAGGGTAGAGTGGCCATGATGTACCTAGGGTAGAGCGGCCATGATGTAGCTAGGGTAGAGCGGCCATGATCTAGCTAGGGTAGAGTGGCCATGATGTACCTAGGGTAGAGCGGCCATGATGTACCTAGGGTAGAGCGGCCATGATGTAGCTAGGGTAGAGCGGCCATGATGTAGCTAGGGTAGAGCAGCCATGATGTACCTAGGGTAGAGCGGCCATGATGTACCTAGGGTAGAGTGGCCATGATGTACCTAGGGTAGAGTGGCCATGATGTACCTAGGGTAGAGCGGCTATGATGTACCTATGGTAGAGTGGCCATGATGTACCTAGGGTAGAGTGGCCATGATGTAGTTAGGGTAGAGCGGCCATGATGTAGCTAGGGTAGAGCGGCCATGATGTTCCTAGGGTAGAGTGGCCATGATGTATCTAGGGTAGAGCGGCCATGATGTACCTAGGGTAGAGCGGCCATGATGTAGCTAGGGTAGAGCGGCCATGATGTATAGGGTAGAGCGGCCATGATGTTCCTAGGGTAGAGTGGCCATGATGTATCTAGGGTAGAGCGGCCATGATGTACCTAGGGTAGAGTGGTCATGATGTACCTAGGGTAGAGCGGCCATGATGTACCTATGGTAGAGTGGCCATGATGTACCTAGGGTAGAGTGGCCATGATGTACCTAGGGTAGAGTGGCCATGATGTAGCTAGGGTAGAGCGGCCATGATGTACCTAGGGTAGAGCGGCCATGATGTACCCAGGGTAGAGCGGCCATGATGTAGCTAGGGTAGAGTGGCCATGATGTAGCTAGGGTAGAGTGGCCATGATGTACCTAGGGTAGAGCGGCCATGATGTAGCTAGGGTAGAGTGGCCATGATGTACCTATGGTAGAGTGGCCATGATGTAGCTAGGGTAGAGCGGCCATGATGTACCTAGGGTAGAGCGGCCATGATGTACCTAGGATAGAGTGAGTGGCCATGATGTACCTAGGGTACAGCGGCCATGATGTACCTAGGATAGAGTGGCCATGATGTAGCTAGGGTAGAGCTGCCATGATGTACCTAGGGTAGAGTGGCCATGATGTACCTAGGGTAGAGTGGCCATGATGTAGCTAGGGTAGAGCAGCCATGATGTACCTAGGATAGAGTGGCCATAATGTAGCTAGGGTAGAGCGGCCATGATGTAGCTAGGGTAGAGCGGCCATGATGTAGCTAGGGTAGAGCGGCCATTATGTACCTAGGATAGAGTGGCCATGATGTAGCTAGGGTAGAGCGGCCATGATGTACCTAGGGTAGAGTGGCCATGATGTACCTAGGGTAGAGTGGCCATGATGTAGCTAGGGTAGAGCGGCCATGATGTAGCTAGGATAGAGTGGCCATAATGTAGCTAGGGTAGACCGGCCATGATGTAGCTAGGGTAGAGCGGCCATGATGTACCTAGGGTAGAGCGGCCATGATGTAGCTAGGGTAGAGCGGCTATGATGTACCTAGGGTAGAGTGGCCATGATGTAGCTAGGGTAGAGCGGCCATGATGTAGCTAGGGTAGAGCGGCCATGATGTACCTAGGGTAGAGCGGCCATGATGTACCTAGGGTAGAGCGGCCATGATGTAGCTAGGGTAGAGTGGCCATGATGTAGCTAGGGTAGAGCAACCATGATGTACCTAGGGTAGAGTGGCTATGATGTAGCTAGGGTAGAGCGGCCATGATGTAGCTAGGGTAGAGTGGCCATGATGTACCTAGGGTAGAGTGGCCATGATGTAGCTAGGGTAGAGCGGCCATGATGTAGCTAGGGTAGAGCAACCATGATGTACCTAGGGTAGAGTGGCCATGATGTACCTAGGGTAGAGCGGCCATGATGTACCTAGGGTAGAGTGGCCATGATGTACCTAGGGTAGAGCGGCCATGATGTACCTAGGGTAGAGCGCCATGAAGTAGCTAGGGTAAATAGGCCATGATGTAGCTAGGATAGAGTGAGTGGCCATGATGTACCTAGGGTAGAGTGGCCATGATGTACCTAGGGTAGAGTGGCCATGATGTACCTAGGGTAGAGCGGCTATGATGTACCTAGGGTAGAGCGGCCATGATGTAGCTAGGGTAGAGCAGCCATGATGTAGCTAGGATAGAGTGAGTGGCCATGATGTACCTAGGGTAGAGTGGCCATGATGTACCTAGGGTAGAGTGGCCATGATGTACCTAGGGTAGAGCGGCTATGATGTACCTAGGGTAGAGCGGCCATGATGTAGCTAGGGTAGAGCAACCATGATGTAGCTAGGATAGAGTGAGTGGCCATGATGTACCTAGGGTAGAGCGGCCATGATGTACCTAGGGTAGAGCGGCCATGATGTACCTAGGGTAGAGTGGCCATGATGTAGCTAGGGTAGAGTGGCCATGATGTACCTAGGGTAGAGCAACCATGATGTACCTAGGGTAGAGCGGCCATGATGTACCTAGGGTAGAGCGGCCATGATGTAGCTAGGATAGAGTGAGTGGCCATGATGTACCTAGGGTAGAGCGGCCATGATGTACCTAGGATAGAGTGAGTGGCCATGATGTACCTAGGGTAGAGCGGCCATGATGTACCTAGGGTAGAGTGGCCATGATGTACCTAGGGTAGAGCGGCCATGATGTACCTAGGGTAGAGTGAGTGGCCATGATGTAGCTAGGATAGAGTGAGTGGCCATGATATACCTAGGGTAGTGCGGTATATTCAACTGTTCATCAAACTGATTTCTATAGTACTAGATAATCGACCAGTGACAGTACTTCATTTGGGATATTAAGCAACAAGAACAAAGGGTAAGGCTTTGCTATTATTTTTCAACTGTTCTTTTTTTCACTTATTTCTTTAACGGCGTGAACATCAAATATAGATTGCTAAGTTTCTTAAAAACATCCAACTAATATTAATCATATCAGTTTTATTGCCACAAATGTTGCACAAGTTTTAAATATTTCATACAGTACATTCTAAACATGCTTAAACATGTAAAACAACATGTTACACTTCATCTGTCCATGCATGTCATAAACACGATAAATACAATGAGCAAAGTTGTTGGTATAATACCGGGCCTGGACACATGCAGCAAACAGTTCCAGTAATCTAAGCACAGCTATTATGATTTCATTGGCCTGGTTAACTAATCTGGCTTCAAATGCTTGATATATTGTGCTCTTTGAACATGTTTCATAGATATTTGCTGCAATCATGTGGTCGGATAGTAGTCGGACCCAGGTGTATAGAATGCCTCTTATACATGCAATAGGGTAATAAATAATATATACGTCATGAAATGTAGATATGGTTGATTATCTTTACATAGAACCAATTGCTAATCACCCATCAACTCCAACAGTATTATGTCAATATAAATAAATCTTTGTGTTCTTCATGAGTGAGTGAGTTGGGTTAAACGCCGCATTGAACAGTATTCCAGTAATATCACGGCGTGTCAGCTCGATGTGGGGGGAAAGCCGTAAGTGATACAGGTCTCAGACGTTTTCCACTTTGGTGAAACCCAATGGTGACAAACCTAGAAACATAATCAGGGCGAACTGGGATTCGAACTCACAATCATACGTTTCTGACGTGCTCAAGGGATGCAAGGTGCCCCTCGTGAGTGAGTGGTTTGGTTTGTTTGTTGTTTAATGCCGCACTCAGCAATATTCCAGCTATATGACGGCGGTCTGTAAATAATCAAGTCTGGACCAGACAATCCAGTGATTGACATCACGAGCATCGATCCACACAATTGAAATCGATGAAGTGCATCAACCAAGTCAGCGAGCCTGACCACCCGATCCCGTTAGTCGCCTCGTACGACAAGCATAGTCGCCTTTTATGGCAAAAATGGGTTGCTGAAGACCTATTCTACCCCGGAATCCTCAGTGAGTGAGTGAGTTGGGTTTGGTTTAATGCCACTTTGGGGAACCCTGCGAGCACGGGGATAGTGCTGCCAAACCTGACATACCTGGGGGTGAACCAGGATTCGAACCCACAATCATAGGTTTCTAGGTTTCTGGCAAGCCCCTCTTGAACATTATCAAGTTAATTTTGATCATCCATTCTATTGCAGACTATTGTCCGCTATTCAACACTCATATTTAAGGAGAATTAAACATTGCACAATAAAAAACATCATTTCATGCACAAACATACTTTTGGCCTTGGGGCTTGTCATAATTCTTTGATGTTTTATTATTGGATGGTAAACATGGTAAAAGTAATTATTACATATGAATTATGTACAACACACACAATATACATACAAATTGTTTACCTGAGATAATAACACAGGTAAACAATGCCAGGACATTTATACCAATATGATCAAAGTCTGTACATATTCCAGCAAGCACACATGACGATTGTGTAGTCACTATAATCATGATAATCATCAGGTCTTTAAAACCACAATTACTGACAATATGTTTTTAATTTATATTTACTTTATGTTTGATCTGAATACACCATATCTGAGTTTTGTCCTGGCTGTAATACTAATCATGTATGAAGTAATACCCAAATGGTTTGTCTGCACCAAACACAACATATTGCAGGCCAACTTGAGCTGTGGTATAGTTGAAATACTGCCGACAATAGTATTAAACCAAAATTCACTCACCCCAGTTAGCTTCACTGATGTTAATCTATTATTATAATCGTGGAATTAGTGAGTGAGTGAATATGGTTAAATGCCGCTTTGAACAGCATTTCAGTTATATAACAGTGTGTCAACTTAAAGTCCGAAGTGATGCAGGTCTTAGATGTTTGTTACCTTGGTGAAACCCATGACGAGATTTTGGTGCTGACAAACCTAAAACAATCAGGGTGAATCTGGGATTTGAACCCACAAAAACATTAACTTGTGGTGTCCTAGACACTGAGCCACCTGTGTTACCTTCAGTGTAACTAACTGACATTGGTCTTTTCTAGCTTATTGCACAAATCCAGTTCCGTTTGACCACTCTCTTGCTGCTCCTTGACCTGGTCACCTGAGGCCACTTTGTTCTCGACACCTGTGGCAACCTTCCCCTCATCACTCGACACTTCCTCGGACTTTGTGTCCACCTTACCCTCTTCCTCAGACTTAACCTCGGGCTCTTCCTCCGTCATCTTATCCCCGTCCTCAGACTTTGTCCCTTCTGGAGCCTCTTCCTCAGATTTGGTCTTCTCGTCAACATCTTCAAAGGCATTCTCTGTTCCCTCGCCCACTTTCGTCTCTGCATCATCCACGTAGATGATGTCTTCAGGGTTGGGAGGTTTGGGAAGAAACTCTTCATCAGGACAAATCTTCTCCCATATTTTCCTGGCATGGAGAACAATATCATCCATATCAATCTCTATCCCAGGGCCAGGCAGAAGGTAGACATTCGAGGGAGTCGAACTTGAAGGAGTCACATCCGATTGATCGTCCTGGCTGTAAAACAACGACCACAAGATACATGGTTTGTCATCGGTCTGCTCCGAGCCTCCAAATAAGGTTTGGATGATGGGCGAAAGATCAGCTTCAGGGTCACCACTTCCTGTACGAGTAACATGTACAACGAACGAATCCCTCGGACAAACCATGGACGATGGTGGTAGTTCTAAAATGGTGATCGGTCGGGATGGATCGTCTTCCGAGGGGAGGTGCAACATGGAAAGTTCTTGATTTTCTGATGGCAGAACGGACTTGTTAGTTATCAAAATGGCACGAGAGATTTTGGAATCAGAAGCGCTGTCCTTCAGCGTCTCTGGAGTGTAGGATGGCCCAAGGATAAGATGCTTGCATTCAATCCTTTGTCCCTCTGTTGTGTGTATTGCACAGCATTTGTTGTCCTGGTCTATTATGATATCAGTGGCCGACATCTGCAGGCAGTACACACCACCAAATACGGCACACAGACGACAGAAGCCTTGTGGTATTTCTCCACTACCATATAAAGGAAACAGGAATGCTGTGTTGCCATAGCGACCAAGGGACTGTAAGAAGTGCTGAGTTTTCTTCAATCCTTGTTCTGTTGTAGTTGCCTCTGTTGCCATAGCAATGGAGTGATAAACAAAGTGATGAGTGTTTGGCGTCAGCTTCTTGAATTTCAAAAATTCCAAAAAGGGTTTTCCGACATAGTCTTGATAGTGATCAGGGTATTTATCATGTTCAGCACAGAACGTGAGAAACTTCATGAGCAACCGTTTCTCCAACATCGACACCTTCTTGCTACTGAAAACATCTGCCCGCGAACATGGCACTTTCTCCAATTGTCCATTGAGGAGAGTTAGCATTCTACTGACAGTCCTGAACTCACAATATTTAGCAACATCAGAGACTATCAGCAACTCCACCATCTGGCCGCTGCAGTACAAAACTTTAGGGGCAAGGTCAAGGTTGAATCTCCGCCAGTTGTTCTTTATTTCATTTGCTGTCCAAATTTTCTGGGTTGGCTTGGCCTCTTTCTTCTCAACCTGCTCCTGCTCTTCAGATGTTTCCGTCCGCTGTTCCTCTTTCTTGTCATCAAACTGACCTTCACCTTCAGCATCAGATTGGGGAAGTTGTTCTGGGGGAGCGCTGGTTTCTTCATCACCACCTGACTCCGCTGCAACACTCTCCTCTGGGATGTCGATTTCTTCAGCAACATGATATTGTACTCTGATCTTGCTTTTATCTGCTGGAAAGCCAGGCATCGACATGACCCTCTCACCATCTTTCAGCTCTGGTGATTTCTTGTTGTCCTGCTTCTCATTCCCTGGCTCAGCTGTCTGGGGAAGGAATACAGATTTAGATAGAGGGGTCATTGATTGGATTTGTTTGTTTGTTGTTTAACGCTGCACTCAGCAATATTCCAGCTATATGACGGCGGTCTGGACCAGACGATCCAGTGATTGACATCATGAGCATTGATCCACGCCATTGGGATACGATGACATTCCTTAACCAAGTCAGCGAGCCTGACCACCTGATCCCGTGTCGAAGCATAGTCACCTTTTACAGCAAGCATGGGTTGCTGAAGACCTATTCTACTCCGGATCTTCAAGGGTCGGTCTTTGATTGGAAATCATAGTATTGATATATAAACTCAGTTACACAATATATCGATTTATAATAAATCAATCATTTTGTATGTGAACAGATAAAAATTATCAATTAATCAAGCTAATTTATGCAAAATATTAAGGAGACCAATCAATTAAATGTTTAAAATTGAATTTTGTGCCTTCTCATTATCCACCTTTACCATGATAATCTTAATAAATTTTCATGTTTCTGTGGAAGTGAATTATTTATTTAGTATTGGTATTTTAAAATTTGTATTGATACAGTGTCAACATTAATAAATTAGAGATACATTTATATCACTACATTCAATGACATACCTATTTTAGAGAACAATCATATCATATTAAACATTGTTCATAATTTAAAAAAATGAAACACATAAAGTAAGCATCTTTTGAAAGTAATGTACATGATGTATAATGATGTATGACATTATTTATCATGTATAGATAAATAGATATATCATGAAATAAATGTAGTTGATTACAAATAATTAGTGCTTGTTTACTGGGTCGTCAGTCCAACATTATTTACCTTTATGCGCAGTAGCCGTTTTCTCTGCAAGACTCAAAACTTGATAAAAATTGTTCAAAGTTTCCTCACATTACGTTGGACTAATTTGATGAGAGAAAGCTAGCCCATACCCTACCTTACAGCCATTAGAATCATGAAGGGGTATTTGATCGGAAAGGGGTACCTAACCCTAATGATCGTAAAGGCATGCTTGATCGTGAAGGGGATTCTAGGGCTTAGGATAGAGTCGGAGGGTAGTCTAACCTTACCCTAACTCACCTAACCTTAAGGATATGAGATGTGATTGTGCAGTGAGAACCGCAGCCTGAACTAGTCAGGCTGAAGGGGTCATTGTCAGCACAGGTACTACAGAAATGTATCCCAGGTATGTTTCTGTATATAGAAATGTACCATAGCCAAAATTAGAATACAGAAACGTACCTAGACTAACATCTAGTCTCTGAAATGAACATATCGTACATCAAAAAACAGTTGTTCGGTTATCTTAATAAAAACATAATAAAAAGGAGCCCAGTGACTCTCTTCATTTTCAGACCTGATACTGCAGTGATCTAGACTTGCCAAACATTATAGACTTGCATGGGCTGTATTTGATATATATTTGTATCAGGGTCTGTAAGACAGACTAAAACGTACCTAGTACCCTAAATGGTGGACGAGTCCATATTTCTCAATCCAAAACGGATTCATGTTGTAGTTCCGGTTCGTCTAATTATGAGTGCATGCATGCGACTTCTTCATGATCTTTTTTCAACAGCTCCCTACACTTATGTATCATTACGGTCTTGTCAAAGGCATTCAACTCCTGTCTAACCCGTAGTGCCATTTAGCACTATATTAGCTGCACCCGGTAAACAGCACTGTTGCCTTCATTTGTTTAAGACTTCTGTGATTATCAATATTAACTTACCGGTATCATAGATCCAACATTAGTTTTCAATGGGTAAATTAACAATTATTCAAGGTTTGGACATGGTACGTATTAAAACATGATAATCCATCAACATTACGTGCAAGAGTCCAACACTCTCTTAAGATTGAGTGAGTTGGGTTTTACGCCGCTTTTAACAGTATTCCAGTCATATCAGCTTAATGTGGGAAGAAAGCCCGAAGTGATGCAGGTCTCAGACGTTTACCACTTCGGTGAAACCCACGAGCACAGGTATGGTGCTGACAAACCTAGAAACATAATCGGGGCGAACTGGGATTCAAACCCACAATCATAGGTTTCTGGCGTGCCAAAGGGACGCAACTCTGCACAGCTCTGCCTTAGACGACTGGGCCACCCGTGCCCCCCACGCTCTTAAGAAACATATTGTGGTTTTAATAATAAACATACAAAAGTTATTATTGGAATATGATCACTGTCATTATGGATGATCAATTGGCCTACTTTATTAAACTGACAACATGCAATGCTGCACGTAGATGTTCATATTTTGTAAAAAGGATCAAATAAATTCAGATTTGATTTATTTGACGGTTCGTTTCTCACCTCATTTCGTACTTTCCATTTTTCAATACCTCCCGTGTTAAACGATGCCCAAGCGCCACTGTAGAAATCATTTCTATCGATATGCAGGACTTTATAACCATTACGTGAAAATGCTGCTGCTAGAATACTTTCCGGTAGTCCTGTTCCTAGGACGACCACATCAAACTCAGATGGGAGATCAGAAGCCATTTTCCGCAGGTTTTATCCTCGACTGTCCTGCACGACGTGGCCACGTTGATTAATTTACTAGAACATGACAAAATGTACCATGTCACTTGGGTTGATCGTCATTAAACGGAATTAGGATTTTGTGTCATCGAAACCGGAACTGGAGGAGTAGGAGTATGCTTTTGAGCTCTGACACAGCGTTTGTACGCTGTATCAATGTGGCAGAGGTCTGATTCTGTGGTGTGCGGGGAATTGCTCGCTGCAGGTGCCATATTTTAGGATTCGCTCACGATATGCACTCCTTCGTCACGAATGATATGCAGCACCAACACTGTTACGAGTTTTAGAGGACAACGTATGTTTCACGATTATCTTATAAAATCCCTGAACTTAAACAGTTTCACACTAAAACATAAGAAAAACACATGGAATCTAATAAAGTCAGTTACACAAAAAGTTACTATCTAGTTCCATATTTTCTATATATAGTTATATTTACATTGTACCTATCAGGTCCCAGGTGGTCTAGTGGTTAGGATTTGGCGCTCTCACCGCCACGGCCGGGGTTCGATTCCCCGTCTGGGAAGTAGCTTTTGTTCTTTTTACTCTTTTTTTTCAGCAGGAAATTATTTTTCTTATCACAAGCATGGTTTGCTGAAGACCACTGAAAACTATTTTTACTGCATGGGTAAATTCATCAAACAAAAGACGTTACTAAAAGAAAAACATTATTATTTTAGCATTAAATTTAAAAGCAATTGGCAATGTTAAATGCTTTTTTTAGAAACGAATACACTGAAGATAAAGTTGGTTCAGTTAACAGCAGAATATCGGTAGGACCAGACAAACAAATTGTAGATGGATTGATCAGCGACTAATGCTGTCTGAGTGCGACGACACGACATGCAGGCGACGTGTTGTAATCACTCAATCTGTATGTCAGGTCTGGCGACATGCATTGGGCACCGGAACGATCACAAGGGGGAAATGAGAATACTAGAGGTGAGTTTTGCTGAGACAAAATGTATTTAATCTCATTAAAACCATATCTTAGTTCTCGTTACCGCTAAACAAAGGGTATAGCGAGAACTAAGATATGATTTTTTAATGATATTGAAATGTTTTGGGAACTACAATCGAGATCAATTTTAACACGTTTAGATGTGATCAAAAATTATATGATATGGCTAAAATCTTCAAAACCCTTACTAAAAGCAGGGCTATTTATAACATTGAGTGAGTATCGATTTACGCCGCTTTTAGCAATATTCCAGCAAGATCACGGCGGGGGACACCATAAATGGGCTTCACACATTGTACCCATGTCAGGAATCAAACCCGGGTCTTCGGCGTGACGAGCGAACGCTTTAACCACTAGGCTACCCGACCCGCTATTTATAACAACAACAACAACAACATTGATAATAATAACAATAATAATGATGATGATAATACTAATAGCAGCAAGAGTAGTAGAGTAGTTTATGTGTTGTTTAACACCCCTCTCAGAAATATTGCAGCTCTATGATGGCAATCTGTACTTAATGGAGTCTGGACCAGACAATCCAGAGATTGACATCATGAGTACCGATCCACGGAATCGGGATAAGATGACGTGCATCAACCAAGTCACCAAACACCAGGGTATGAAACTACCAAAAATTTCAGCCAGGCCACAGGACTGGCTAGCTGAAATACTTGCCAGCCCTGACCAAAACCTGCCTGCCCACTATAATCATATGTTTCTCAGGATAAGCTAACGGGGTTTCTTTTTGGTTACATTTTATCATTCATCATTACATGTGAATTAATGTTTATCATCGGGAAATATTTAGAATATTTTCACATATGAAATATAACCCGACCGTCGGGCAGGGGGATTTGAAAATCTGGCAGCCCGAGTTGAAATCAACCCGTCTCGGACGGTCGGGCAGGCAGGTATTTCGATCACTGCGAACACCCAATCCATTAATTTTCGTCTCCTTTCACAACAAGCACAAGCCTGCCGGTGACGAACATTCTTATTCGTGGAATGTGGAATTTATATTTTTTAAGGTATTTTTTGTAACAAAAAGCCTAGGCAAGTCTAGATCAAACTAACCAAGTCTAGTTTGCTTAATCCCACAGCAGAAGAGGAAAGGTTCTTTCAAAGAAGAAGAAGAAAATTTAAAGACATGTTTTATTGACTTAGTGTCCGTCTATCCCCACAGGTTGGCGTAGTAGTAATACAACTTTAATTCGGGACTCGTATCAAATAGTCCCGAAATAAGGAAACCCCTTTTGTCATCCATGTGGAATTAATTATATATTCTGATAAAGGAAACCACCGACGACATGTTCATATATCATCCTAGTATTATAAACTAGGACAAAAGACACACACAGGTACCTGGTATGGAGTGCTGTACGGGTAGAAGTTATTTACTTTTTCTTTGTGTTCCCATGTACAATACAACAGCGGAATGTTCGCCTGTGTCGATGAGAGTATATACAACTATACCCATGCTCGGAGGTATTGTCCCCCATGCAGGTGTATGTGTCTATGCAGGTGACTATAATTATGAGCATGGGTACATACATAGCTGTGGAGCCGTGTTGTTGTAGTCAATAAACATATAACGCGTGGACCGAGTGGGGTGAGGTTAGATCACAGGAGTCCGTATCTAAAAATAGACGCCCTCATGCATATTCATGACCATCTCCACATGCGTGTGGAGATGGTCATGAATATGCATGAGGGCGTCTATTTTTAGATACGGACTCCTGTGGTTAGATCGACCTCTCCAACATGTCCGCCGATGTGTGAACTTCAAAAGTTGAATGGAAATAGAGTGATCCAATTTCGTCCTAAAACTCCGCCTCTGAAAGAATGTTGTTGAGAACATTTGAATATCAATAACATCACGATTATTAAACCTATCAGCGTCAAAATTTGATATGCGATACCTCTCTGTGCCAAACCCGATATACGGTACATATCTGTGCCAAACTCGATATACGATACCTCTCTGTGCCAAACCCGATATACGGTACATCTTTGTGCCAAACTCGATATACGAAACCTCTCTGTGCCAAACCCGATATACGATGCCTCTCAGTACCAAACTCGATATACGATACCACTATACAACATTTTCTGGTCAAAACAATTAAAGTGTATGTTTTTATTACTGTCAAACACGTCTGTGTGCGTGAGTTTATACGCGTACAATTAAATGTAAGTTCCTAAAATGACCCACATCATCTTAATTCGCAAAAAATCGATTTGTACAAAAGAAAACCCCACACAGAACACAAATATTCCTTCGATAATACCTCTTATTGGGTGTAGATGTCATGTCGCTGAGAAAAGACATTGTGTCATATGCGGCCTTTATTATCTACATTCGGAACTGTCGTCAAAGTTGTTTTTCGAGATACAGAAGTCAGACATGCTTGTCTGAATGCCTTTCGAACTCGTATCGAGAATGTAGAAGCCTGGACGAATCATGAAGAGAGGTATGGGATCGGAGTTCAAGATCTGTTTTATTGAGACTGTCTCTGACTTCAATTTCTTTTTTTTAACGCGATACCACTATTGTAACCAACCACTACTAAACAGCCGGACAAAAGAAACTATATACTCTTGAAAGTTCACACTTAACTTTGTTCGATAATGTGTGTATTGTGAAATTGCGACCCCCATGTTTCTTGAGACGCCATGTGCACGTCAGTTCTTGTGAGATACTCATTGATATGATGCATGCAATATCGCATGATGCATCATAATCGTATCAAATACACATCGAATAACTTTTTCTTTCTTGTTTCATTTCAGACACCATCAAACTGAAAACTTTCTTTTAACCGGCAGTTTAAATACATCTTGATGGGACGTATGTCTCAAAACAAGGACTACTGAGTAGGAAACCCCATGACGTTTAAGATAGCCCAATAATTTAAGTTTCTTTTGAGAATAACGCAGCGCTTAGAATGGGCGTTGGATGCCTACCTTGAACGTCTTCTCGACCATGGCTCGAAATTATCGCATTGGTTGTGATTGATGGGACCTTTACTTTGATTAGTAGTGTACAAGCCAATGAGAGCGAGGCCAGTACAGTGTCACCTATCACTTGTCAATACTTTGAGCGACCGCCTCCGTGGTCTAGTGGTAGAGCGTCCGCCCGGAGAGCGGAAGGTACGGGCTTCGATCCCCGGCCGCGTCATACCAAAAGACGTTCAAAGATGGTACTTGTTGTTACCCTGTCTGGCGCTCGGAATTAACTGACTAAAACAAGGACTGGTAGGCTCGGATTCAGTATACTGTGTCTGAGGGGTATTCATGTTAAACTGCGGCATGGTATCTCAGTGAGCTAGCACTATAAATCGGCATCAGTCCGGACTAGTACAAGCAGCCACACAAAAGCCAAACAAACACACACACGTACATGCACGTCGCTATATAAGTGCAATAATCTTGGACGCGACGTTAAACCCCATTTCACCTCACCCAATACTCAGAGCAAGCAGGGTGAAACTGATACTGGAATGTTTTATAGTTGGAAAGCATAATGTTATCAAGTAGCTGTAGGAAATGTTTTTTTAGTGATGAAGGGTATCACATATCCGATGTTTAAGTTATTTCTCTATCTGTACTAAGGTATAAGTATGTACATTATCACGTCTGGAAAGTCGAGCTGTCTGCAAACACTATTCATGAGAAATAAAAACAAATGCAGGTTTGAGATTTCAAACCTGACGTAAAGACTCAACGATCTGGTATCCCTCGAAAACAAAATTAATTTTTTGGAAAATAATTTTTTTCGGGTTGTCTCTCCGGAACTCGGGTTACATAAATTGTGTGGTGGTGGCGTTGATGACTGAATGTTGAACGTAAAACGTTGAATGAGACGCACAGTGTTGTCGAAAAAAGGCTGTCAGGTAGAACAAAACATGTCTGTCATAATGTCAAGACGACCATGTTATGTGTTCGGATACGATGGCATCAACCATCAACCAAGTCAGCGAGTCTGACCACCGGATCCCGTTAGTCACCTCTTACGAGCAGCATGAGACAAGCATGGGTTGCTGACGACAAATTTTAACCCGGAATCTTCAGGGGACCGAACCTGTTATAGAAAACACCTACAAATCGAATCTTGTATGCGCGTTACTTCGTTCTTATGTTCGGCGCCCGTGGTCACGGATGTGGGCCTGTACGGCTAAGGCACCGCAAATCGATGTGCAGTTGTGTCCCTTAGCCATTCAAGGATCCGATGATTTTGTGTTCGAATCATAGAATTGCCATGATTATGATCGTGGGTTTCATCAGTGGTAAACATCTAAGACCTGCATGCGTCACTTTAGAATTTCTCTCCACGTGAAGATGACACGCCATTTAATTAAATTATAGTATAAAGCGGCGTTACACCCATCTCACTCACTCATACATACCGTTATTGAACACTGCTAAAGTCACATAAAGTTAAAAAAGTAGAACATCAACACATTTTTATTTGATAACATTTAATAAAACCATGGCACTTGTTCCATACATGCATCAACTGAAGGCTATCACCTTCTTTTCTTCCTTTTTCAGCTGTATCAGTTACTGTCTGGGTTTCATTTTCTTCTTTTTTTAACAGCATCTATCATGATTCCACTTTTTTATAACCCTGCATACAGCCACGGGGATAGGCGTATCAGGGGATATAGCTTCCACGTTGTAAGAAACAAAGTAATTAGAAGAACATCAACAACAATTTTTAGTTTTGATGCAATGGACGAATTGGTATACTTCAGTAATTTGCAGTGTAATAACAAATCTTATCGGAATATATATATTTTTAATATATTCTACACCTGTATATAGTAAATGTAGCTAACAACATAAAATTCATAACTTCAGAATAGTGGTTTTCTTCACTGACACCATACAAAACAATATTCCTATAATTACCACATGTTTTCTTATGCTATCGCTTAAAATTTAAAGAAAGGATAAAAGCGGCGTCATCAACAGTTAAATACTTTGGTACAATCAAAACCAAAGGGATATCAACTCCTGACTTAAATGATATATGACCTTGGAATGCGATACATCTAATATTTCTCCTCTCGTGTGTTTTTTAATCAAATTTGTATATTTTATTGATGCCATAATAATGCTAAATTCATCAGCAAAGTTTTTCTGTGTCAAGCAGACCAAGCTATGTGTTTCTACAGGTATACACAATGAAAAAAAACCCAACAACAAAACCATTAACCTTTAATCTGGTTGGTTAACGTGTTGTTGTGCACGCGCCAAACCAAGTGTTGTTTTGGTTTTGATTGTTGTTTAAAGCCGCACTTAGCAATATTCCAGCCATTTGAAGACGGTCTTTAAATAATCGAGTCTGGACCAGACAAGCCAGTGATTGATATCATGAGCATCGATCCATGCAATTGGGACATGATGACATGCATAGACCAAGTCAGCGAGTCTGACCTCCCGATCCCGTAAGTCGCCTCTTACGACAAGGAGACCAATTCGAATCCACATTTGTACCTTAATTCTCTTTTGAGGCCAGAAACCATAGCGTTGTATATTATGGTCTCTGTTGATGACAATCGGTCTGATGGCTATCACCAACACTATATGACTGGAATTTCTTACACTGTTATGCTGACATGTGTTTTTGTATTTTTCCGAAATGCAAACAAAATATTATGAGATTCTCCGATTCAAGTGAGTGAGTGAGTATGGTTTTACACCGCTTTTAGCAATATTCCAGCAATATCACGGCGGGGACACCAGAAATGGGCTTCGCACATTGTACCCATGTCGGGAATCGAACCTGGGTCTTCAGCGTGACGAGTGAACGCTTTAACCACTAGGCTACCCGACCACCCCTCAAAGTTGAATTATTTTGACTTTTTCTGACTTCTACAATACAATGTACATAGAAACTGACAGAATAAGTGAAATCATAGAATTGGCAGAATGTCCGTTTTGATCTTAACCGATACAGGCAAGGCGTGGACGGCTGACCCTTTCATCCCACAGAGCTGCCATACCTTCCACGCCGATAGGCGGCGCAGTGATCGTATCACGTGACATCTTCTGTCTAGCTCCTCCCTGACGTATTTGACGTACGGTTTGACCTGCTGGGATAAATGCCGTGAATGTTCGTTTTTGAATATCTTCGCACTCTCTGTGACAGACGTGGATGACATGAACGTACAAATGTTCAACATTGTATCCACCTCTTTCTTGTATTTATGCTGCGTGTCGACCACCTGACATAGAGACAGTTTCTCAAACAACATGTCAAGGTAGCTGTTCACGGCATATTTCCCATTGACCTTTTCATTGGGGTCAGCTCCATGGCGTAGCATACATTTCATTATGGCCTCATCGACTCCGATGACGACACTGCATTTAGCATACTGATGAAGAACCGTTCCCCGTAAACTGCTCTTGTTACCCCCGACCCTTCCGATCTGGTTGGCATGGGCGTGGTACTGGCCCAAAATGTCGGCACATCCTTCAACAAACTTCACAGCTAGAGTACGCGATTCCAAAACCGAAGCGAAGACCTCAACCGTCTCCAGTAAACAGTGTAGAGCAGACGAGAAGGCGTGTCTCCCGGTGACTGGTTTAACCCCACGTTTGACTTGACCTGCTTCGTCCTTGACCTCGTCAAAGCAGGGGTCAGCTCCCTTGCGAAGCAGCAGCTTCATGCATTGGATGTAGTACTGAGTGTTGTCGTTGTCATGAATACAGAAGGCGTTGCTTAACAAGCTGTACAGAGGATATGTTCTTGGAGGCTTACATGCTTTCACAGAGTGTCCGTGATTGATAAGAATGGACGTTATCTTTGGAAGGAGCGAATGACCTCCTTTGGCGAAAGACTGACTGTAGGTATAGAGCACGTGGTAAAAGTTCATCTGTTTGAAGAGCGACGAGGTCGATATTCCCTGCTTCAAAAGAATATCAAGACAGTCGGGTCTCGCGTATTGAAGGGACACTTCTATACCAGACTTGATGTCCGTCTTTGATGGGTTTTGTTTGAGGACAAGTTCAAGTGCCAGCGGCGAATCTGCAAGACATGCGAGGCTTACATCGTCTTTGGAGGCAGCTTCAGGGTACCTTTTGATGACACACATATTCAGAGTTGTCCGAACGCATTCGATGTGGTCATATTTAGCAGCAACGTCAAGAGGACTGTTCATTCCTTCATCACCGTCGTCATCTTGACCTGGTATGACAAACTTTCCGGACACCATCCGGAAGTCGTCTGGTCGGAACTGTAAAATGATACTGAGGGCTGTTCGGAAACCCAGTCTAGCAGCGAGGTGTGCGTAGGGATTTACTTTCGGTTCGTGTGGATGTGCAAAGTAGCCCTCCGAGAGGATAAGCTGTAGAGCCTCCGGGTTGTTGAGTAGGATGGTGTGATGCAGGGCATCCAGTCCATTGTCGTCTGCCCAACACCGGAAGTCGCTTGCTTTTGACACCAGAAGGTACTGCTTCAGTTTCCGACCATCGATGCCTCTTTTGACAGCATCTAGGAAGTCTTTGATATTGACGTCAACCATGGTTTACGTTACACCTGTGAAATGTATTCAGACAGTGAGTTACAGTAGTGATGACTTCTGTATATTTTAGCGTTCTTTAGCTTAAATGGATACGTTCGAAAAAGAATATTAATATGAAACACTAATTACGAAAACGCCGTGGCCGCAATTCGATGTTTCGTCACTATTATTTTGTATTTCACCATGAAAATTTAAAGCAACAAAGTCTTAAGGATAAATAAACAAATTATGTTAGGATTAAAAATCTAAATATATATATCTCCAATCTGTATATGACAGAAATCGACATGTGACCTTTGACCCTCTTTATCTTGTCACAAAGTTACACAAAACATGTCCGCAAAAAGATGTTTGTGAATGTGACAGCATATATTTGAAAAATAAGGCTTAAATGAAAAGTTTTTTTAACAGTTCTAACGTATTTGTAGGATTTAAATAGATGTAAAGACATTTGTACTCATTGTACCTCAAATTAGCCACACGTAGGTGTGGCCTTTCAGCAGGCCGGTAGGCCATGCAAGCCTGGGCCAGAGAAATTACCCCAGTCTCGGGATTTTCCTTTACATAAGAAGGCAGTTAAATATAGTTTAATTGAGCAAGTAAGTAAATGGCTGTCTGTGAAACAATGACATTTCACACAGTGGAACCTCGGGTGGTCCATGTAGATGTTTGAGGCGTCGCAAATCGCCTCCCGTCAACCAACTTTCGTGTGTTTGAATCCCAAATTCGCCCCGATAGTGTTTCTATGTGAGCACCTTATCCGTATTCGTGGGTTTCACCAAAGTTTGTTTGTTTGTTTGTTGCATAACGCCGCACTCAGTAATATTCCAGCTATATGACGGTGGTCTGTAAATACATGTAGTTGAGTCTGGACCAGACAAGCCAATGATTGTCATCATGAGCATCGATCCACGCAGTTGGGATACGATGACATGCATCAACCAAGTCAGCGAGCCTGCCCACCCGTTAGTCGCCTCTTACGAGAAGCATAGTCTCCATTTACGGCAAGAATCGGTTGCTGGAGACTTATTCTAACCCGGATCTCCAGGGGAAACACCAACCAATCAATCAATCAGTCGTAGAATGATTTATGATGTCATTTGACCTATGCCTCTTGCAGCTCTAACAACTGGTTAAAGCATGTTCTGGTATCGAATACATAACATCGATTAACTCCGAATTACACGTCGGGTAAAATTGCACTTGATGCTTTGTCGTCAGGCAGGCTCCGCGCAGCGCAGTTAATACACTCAAGTGGAACTTTAAATGTCAAATAAATGTTTATTGGAAATCGATGACAAAATTGTTAACGTCGAAACGGACGGTACACTACAATCAACCAAATTGCAATTACCATATCATCATTTGGTCGATTGCACAGCGGAATGAATATTTTTTAATATAATGAATATATTGATTTCTGAAAATTCTTATTTCTAAAGGCGTCATATATAAGTGAGGTCAAACTGAAATTCATGTTGGTAGTTCTTCAGATTTTGTGACAAGAAAAAAGTTTGTATATCTAATATACATCTGTCAACAAAGGTCAGAAAAATTATTAAGAACAAATAATTGGTTTGTATTTAAAACTAGTGTTATGTCGTATTATCAAGTTCTTGTTTACCAAACTGTCTTGAATGTCAATCGTGGATAATTTCATAGAATTGGATTGTAAAATGCATAGGTATTTATTGACAAATTCCTCTCTCTATCTTAACTTTGATAATTTGACGCCAACCGATATGAGCAATGCCAAATCACCAATGAAGTCATGTATCTTATAGTCTGCGTTGCACAAACACATAACATCGTCAGCAAGCACAGTGGGATAGCCTAGTGGTGAAAGCATTCGCTCGTTTCTAGGAAGTCCCGGGTTCTACTACTCACATAGTGACTGTAGGTGTGCATACGTAGTCACGGTGACCTTGACCTTGGGCCAGTGAACAGTTTGATAGTAGAATGACTGACTGTACGTCTGCATATGTAATCCCCCAACCCGTCACTTGCACTAATTTTACACAAATTATCAGGCGTGGAGAAAATGCACCATAGGTGAATGTGCAATTACTTTAAAATCTGGAAATAAATGTCAGACAACTGATGTATGTTTAAAATAATAACCATACCTGCACGCCGGAGCTTTGAGGAGGACCCGTCGCTTCAGAACAGGGTTTAACAATTAACGTCATATGCTGGTGTCAGTGACGGCAAATCCCGGATGTACAGTTAGTGGTTGTCACGCGATAGGCTGCATTGGGAGTGAAAAACATATTACTGTAGGCCGACCCGAGGTTAACTCCATGGCAACAGGTAAACATTCTGCGTTTGTTGACCAATGGAAGGTTATCTACTTATTTTACTCGCAGATTGATTATTCTGTACTGATAACCTGTTGACAGACGCAAGGGGGGGTAAAAGAAAAGCAAACATTTACGGGTGGACTGTTCTCGTGATAATGGCACGATATTATCGCCGTAACCGTTTGTAGGCTTTGTGTTGACTAACTCGCCAATTGTAGTTCAACCTACTTGAGGTGAGATATGACATATCTAATGGTAATAGACCCTTTATGTTGAGAAGCTTACCTTTACCTTTACGTGTTGGTTACATTTGCCAATGACGTCGTAATACAAGGTAAACGAGAAAACAAATAGTAATATAAGTATCGATGCAAAACAGATGTCGTACTGCATGTATATTGAGTAACACGTTGATGAATTACTGCTAGTCTCAATAGAAGGCCAAACAAACACCTTAAACACGGAAGCCACTATGAATACATGAAAGGGAAAGAATGATTGCACTTATCAACGTATGTACCGACTCCCATAGCCGACCACTGCTTGCTTAAGCTGCACCCGACGGGATAACATTAAGTACCACCTTTCAAAGTCTGTTGGTATAAAACGCCCAGGGGTCGAACCCCCAACCTGCCGCACTCCGTGCGGACTTAGACGTTCTATCAACTGCACCACACCATTTCTATCTCAAGGGCTCACATTTCGGTACAGCCACACTAGGGCTAACCTAAAATGCGAGGCCTAAAATTGTAGTGGATGACGACACTGCAGGGGCGATCTTACGTCGTACGGACGCACATGTTACGCACGGGGGACGCACCGAGGGCGGACAGAGGACGCACAGGAGACGGACAGAGGGCATATGGATGCCGGAGGGCGCACATAGAAAGCATAGGGGGCGCACAGGGGACAAGGGGCGGACAGATGACGCACGGAGGACGCACAGAGAACGCACGGAGGAGGCACAGAGAACGCACGGGGGACGCACAGGGGACGGACAGAGGACGCACGGTGAACGGATAGAGGACGCATGAGGGGCGCACAGAGGACGCACAGGGGATGGACAAAGGACGCACGGGGGCGCACAGGAGGCCACATACAAAAACTATCGGTTCAGGTAAGCTAAAAATTAAATTAAGTTTCAGGAGATTTATAGCGACTCAAGTAGGCGACAAGCAAAGTAATGGCCAATGTGTGTTCACCGTGTCCTGGGCTTTTTGCTCGTAAGTAGTGGCGGAAAACGAGTGTGCAAAAACATACTTTCCTGTCGCTGTTTATCAACTTGATAATGTTTTTTAGACGCACTTACCCTTTGAATGGCGAGCTGTCTTTACGTCACGTCTACATTAACATAAACATAACTTATACCACTTAAGTTAAAACAGTATATCCATTATATTCCAGGATGTTTTTAGACACACTGAACCAAAATAAAATAAAACATTCTCTTGAAAGTTTGTAATTCAGGTAGGCGTTTTTTAAAATAGCGGATTAACTATCCTTTTAACTGTGTACCCATTACAAAAAGAAAGGCTTAACTCGACTGATGGTGTGTACATCTGAACGCTCAATGGTGATGACATATCAGGGTACAGTAAACTACGTTTATAACGAACACGCTTATAACGAACTGTTTTTTTAGTCCCAGCCATTTGCTGTATATATGCTGTATATATGTTAAAAACGAATTAAGTTATAACGAACTAAAATTAGTGGTCCTAGTTTACTGTATAACTTCAAAGTTATCGCAGTTGTATAACAACATGCATGTACGTGTTTGTATGTGTATTTCTCTCTCTCGCCATTCCGCGACAAGGAATATTACTTACTTTAATGACCAATCGATGCCAAGTGCGCTTTTCAATCAATATTGACAGCGATGTACATCATCACTGAGTTTTGATCACGTGGTTACAATCCGGGTTCAGATCGGCAGTCAGCATGTTAAACCGAGGCAATGCATCTCAGTGGACTATCAGAAAATAACAGCTGTCATGTTTGGTCAGTTTGGCTTGCCACAACCACCGCCACGGCAACAGCAACAGCAACAACAATACTGTCGGTCATGTATTCAATTAAAATTAGATTTAAAAAATAAATAAAAAATAATTATCAATTGATAAAATTTATTAAAATCAGGATGTAGCCAGGAATAGTGTAATTTGTTGTATTTGAATTGGAGCCATCTAATGCCGAGCTACGCAAAGTTTGATTTGACAACAGGTATCAGTTGTAAGATACACATATATCAAGCCATATACGTAAATGTTCACCCACTCCAAACAGCGCTACCTGCCACTGGCGACTATGCTTGTCGTTAGAGGCGACTAACGGGATCGGGAGGTCAGGCTCGCCGACTTGGTTAATGCATGTCATCGTATCCCAATTGCGTGATCGATGCTCATGATGTCAATCACCCGATCGTCTGGTCCAGACTCGATTATTTACAGACCGCCGTCATATAGCTGGAATATTACTGAGTGCGGCGTTAAGCAACAAACAATCAAACGAACAAACAGCATACTACGCATTTTCGTATGATCGTAAGGTATGTATCAGATACTCGTCTAACATCTCGCCGAGCCATTTGTACTGTTACCTTTTCTTCCTACTGCAACTTGAAGAGCCTCCATGACCTGCTAGACTAGCGGCTCTGGAAATAACAAAACTGATAAAAATAAATACATGTAACACCATTCAAATTGAAAAGGAGCCCATGTGAAATGGGGATTCGGACTTGAGACGGAGGAAAGTCTAGACTTGCTTCATGTTGATTTTTGTGTTACAGAAAGGGCTGGGCGGAAGGGGAAATAATATTATCCAGGGACTGTGAGACATCCTACTAACTACAAACTTGCCAGTAGACAGCAAACATCCTATCTTGCAAAATATGTCCACAACGTATCAGTGGTAACGAATGGGCAGTCTTGGCCTGTCTGCGAGGTTTTTGTTCAATCTCATTAAAATCAGACCTTAGTTCTCGCTACCGCTAAACAAAGCGGTAGCGAGAACTAAGATCTGATTTTAATGAGATTGGGTTTTTGTTGTTATTATTATCAGTAATACATTGTCCTGTGACTGGAGCTAAGTCTAGACGAGGCACGATCCGGCGTAAGCTGGTTCCCGGCTTCCCATGCGCTTCGTCAATTTGATCAGACTGTTGATATGAGAGACGGGGCCCAGCTTAAATCCGGCGCAGTGATGCTGCAAGGAACTCTGGGTAAGAGAATGCAGACGGTAATATTGTTTATCGATGATTCGTTTACTGTCTGATAAATTCTGTTATTGAAGACATCACACGAATGTAAGTTTTCATTCATCGCTCGGTGTATGAACAATGTCGTCTTAACTGTTCGAAAATATTGTGTGGTAGGATAAATCTATAAGCCTTATGGCAACATGACAAAGGCGACACTCGAATGCATGAATGAGAACAATAAGGAACAATAACTCAAAATCGGGAATAGGCCTAGTCTATCAAATGGTAAATCGTCATGGCTAGTGCTATTTAGCTCAAATTTCATTTACTTTTAGAAAGTTTGTTCATCTTCTGTCATTCCTGTTCATTTGGTTCTGCCTGAATTCACCGAAGGGTTACAATGTAGGCACCGCAGACCAATTTTTTTTTCAAATTTAAAATTATCTTTTTGCCTTTTTTATTTATTTAGAAGGTTGTTCTGATTGAAGGAACATGAATGGGTTATTCCACATGAAGCAAAATAAGGTCACACAAGCACCATACTTCAGCACTGCCATTTGTCAGCAATGGATATTCTAAGTGCCGTTTTCGTCCACTTGTGCCAAAAAGTCCAGAATTTTTTTTTTACATTTATTCTTTACAGATAGTTAGAGACATTATTCATGTTGCACTTCTAAAAGTTTGAAAGAAAAATACAATCTCATTAAAATCAGATCTTAGTTCTCGTCACCGCTAAACAAAGATCTGAGGACATCCCATTAGGGGTCACATCAGAACGACCTTTCACCTGACCAATCAGAGCATCGCTTACCAGATTATGAAAGTGACAGTCGGAATGTGATTTCTAATCATGCAGCCTCGAAAACTTTAACTCCGAACGATAGTTACGGGTTTAACGACTGAATCCATACCATCTATTAGCCATTCCAGAATGTTCTTTTGTTCAGGTTTTAAATTTGTAATAGAGAATTTGTCAAAATATGTTTCGAAGCATAGTTGCCAATTTAAAATTAGTGCCGTAAAGCATGAGAAAGCTGCCTTCTGATTGGTCATTCCATTGGTCCGTCAAAGTTCGCGCAAGGTCGGTCTGACGTGACCCGTAATGGGATGTCCTCAGATCTTTGTTTAGTGGTAGCATAAGTCTAAAATAAATAATAGCAAAATAAATATCCATGAAAATGGGAAAAGTCATTGTAAACTTTATATATAAGCATCACATCAAAATGTCTGTCATGAATAATCTTAATACAATCATGTGCATTTTCATGCTCCTAGTATTTACAGTCAAGCATCATGAGCGAATGAGCCAATCGGGAGTATGCTTCATATATCCAGTCTATTAGTGACTGGAAGACATGTATACAGAACTAGCCATTGTAATGGCCACAGGACAGGACAGGACAAGTGTCACCAACCATATCCTCATCAAAACTGTTAAGCAGCCTTTTTCTTGACAACGTACAAAATGTAAAACATATTATGAAACTAATTATCTCCCCTTCAAGGGCAGGCAGAGAATCACACTTAGCTCCCCTGAAATCTTTTGTAGGTCAAATTAAAATACTTTGTCGATGTTTGAAAAATACAGAAAAATAGTTTTTAAATAGTTTTATCATGCAGCTATATAAATACAGCGGTAGAAACTAACGTTTTTGGTCCACTAGTCCTTATAATGATAACATATAGCAAAACCCTAAAAAATGGCAAATATCTACTAGTCCTTATGGTACCTTAACTATTGGGCAGTTTGGCAAGGACTACAGGACTAGTGCCAATTTCTAACCCTGAAATACATCCATATAACGATGAAATTACCAGTTTGTAGGTATTACTGGTAAAGTAGAATACATTTAAACTTTTACTTGCCTGAAAAAATCCTTCTCTCTGAACTCCTGAAGCGCGAGATACAGTGACTGGGAAGTGTGTAGTTGTCATAACAACCAAGAAGACGCACAAAATCGTCATCACAACTATCGTAAATTGCCCTCAAACGTCACTACTAATTGTGGACCAAAACCGAAAGTGTTCTAAAAATAGCTACAGAAGCACCCCCAAGCGATAACTGCGGTCGCTATACAATGTTGGTTGGTTTGTTTGTTGTTTTACGCCGCACACAGCAATATTCCAGCTATATGACAGCGGTCTGTAAATAATCGAGGCCAACAATGCAGTTTACCTGGCGCAGCCCGAGCTCTACCATCCACTCAATTAACACGCTATAGTGCTACCGCTGTCTCGCTATGCTGTTACCGTGCCTCACACTCCGGGGACTCTCGCTTCATGATCCAACACCTCTTTTTCGGTCTTAGGGAAACTTACACGTCTTTACGATCCAACACCCATTACAGTCTTAGGGAAACTTACACGTCTTTACGATCCAACACCCGTTTTCGGTCTGGGGGCAAATTACACATCTTAACGATTCAATACCCGTTTTCGGTCTTAGGGAAACTTACACGTCTTTACGATCCAACACCCCTTTTTGGTCTTAGGGAAACTTACACATCCTTACGATCCAACGCCCCTTTTCGGTCCTTAGGGTTAGCTAGCTTTGAGCTTTGATTGGTCGGTGTAGCGCTTTGAGCATGAACTGCTACATGGAAGTTTGTGCATTATAAGTGCACATTATTATTGTAATTATTACCTAAGTACCTTTACCCGACCCGTTGTTGGGTACGCGAGTACCCTAATAGCCCTGCAACAGATAACAAGATACAAATGTCTACTTTTGGAGTTGTATCTTTTGTCGATGATCGTAGCCATTTATCTGTTTTAGTGTAAGGACCCAATCTCCCATTTGTCTCTCTGGCAGTCTCATGTTACCTTGACCTTGATAATGCAATCAATGACATTTGGCTCATGAAGCGAGTAGCTGAGTGCAGCGTTAAACAACGAACATCATGAGAGTAGGACTTTTTCAATCTAAACATGAAATTGAACTAAGGGCTACCTTTAGAAAACAGTACAACAAACTTTTCAAACACGTGACATTACCATATGACGTAATTTATAGTATTTTGTTGCCAGTCACACCAGCAAAACAATTCCCTGAGGCGACAGGGGTCATGAAGTGTGCATAAGCTCCTCCCAGTGATCTATCATCTCTATACACAATGTCATTGAATAAGCCCAGCGATGTTGAGAGTTTTGAATATTTGTTTACTAAATATATCCTTAACCCTTGGATCATCTTTACGATCAATCACCCCTTTACGATCATTAGGGTTAGGTACCTGTTTAGTGACTGTTATAGATTCAAAAGCAGCTCATAATATTCTTCACACAAAAACGTTGGCTGTTGTTGAGTAAAAAGCATGAAATGGTTTAGTGTCAATAATTTGGCTACTGGAAACTGTCCTGGAACATTCACACAAGACAAGGTACCTGTTTAGTGACTGTTATAGATTCAAAAGCAGCTCATAATATTCTTCACACAAAAATGTTGACTGTTGTTTAGTAAAAAGCATGAAATGGTTTAGTGTCGAATATTTTGGCTTCTGGAAACTGTCCTGGAACATTCACACAAGACACATCCACCCGCTACATTTTATCAGTACTTATTCAAAAGCAAATTCATCCTTGTGTCGTCATGAGCCATGCTCATGCCTCCCCTGTTTCTTACTATTATCCACATTATCCTTATAGTGTTCCCTACCATACTTTTCTGTCTCAAAAATCACCCGATGAATTATCAAATACCATGTCATTCATGCGTCTGAAGCCTGGAGGTGTTTTCAGTTAGCGCCATATCGGCTCATTCCTCACCACTTGGTATCTTGTAGATTATGGAATGGGATGAGTGTGCCAGACGGCATCAGGATCACTCGTATGTTCCGTAGACTAAAGTCTTGAAACACCATGCCCACCCGTACCCTTCAGAAGTTGCCATGGCCTATTCAACCCTTTTCGTTCAGTTCCATAACGTCATACACGTGGCTAGGTAAATTTGCACTTAGTTCCACAGTGTGGACATAGCTCAGTTGGTTAGCTGTCGGGCTAATAATCCGTTCGTGTCTGATGGATTCTCACAAAAACTGATTGCTTGTCTTTGAGACACGTGACCTATAGCTGAGGTCATCCTCACGAGAAGTTGTGGTACTGTATTCTAAAGATGCTTCGAATTAAGCAACTCTGCATAATAAGCCAATCTTTTCCAACTTAAATAAGAAAGGATAAATATGACAACATAAGCACGTCCATTTGGAATATCCATATGAATATACTGTCAATGAATAATCTTGCAATTATTTACCATGTTTACATTCTTACACAACACATTATCTTTTATCACAGTTTATGGTCTGATAGCTTGTCGGATACAAGTCTCACTCTCCTGGATCGCCTTAGTTCAGCACCAGCAACATCTGGAAGTTTAGTAGTTTGGATTACCTCCCTTGCACTGTCTGTGACATCGTCTGAGGACATCATCATTGAGCTGCAAGTCTGGTCTCCTGCAAATTTTTTCATGAGTGGTGAGTTTCTGATAATAACGTGATTACCATTGTCAATAGTTACTGCACTACATTTCTTCTCCAGTATCACATGATGGTCTGAATGGAAACAATTTCATTAAGATCAGATCTATGTTCTTTGTACTGTGTCGTTCTGACATGACCAGAAATGGGATGTCCTCTGGTCATTGTTTAGTGGTTGCGACCACTAAGATCTGATTTTAATGAAATTGGTATGGAAATTGGTTCTCAGCTTATCACTTTGTTTCGTTTTTCTGGAGAGGTGTGCATAAGCTTTACCTCTTCCTTTATTTTGGGCATCATTATTTGAACGTTAATGTCGTTCTCAAGTACCGATTCTGATATCTTGGTACGCAGCTTTTGATTCCTGAGTAGTTCAACCAAACTCTTCCAAGTCATACCTTGGGATGTCGTCCTGTAGGATGGAAGAAATTTTGTTATTTCTGACCTCCAGTCTCTTCCATCTGCTCTGAATGTTTTGAGTACATGTCATATGCCTCTTTGTACCAAAAAAAGGTTTGTAAGTACAACTGACATTTTGAGAGATGACTAAACCACAAAATGAAACCCTCATAAATGGCATAATGATACATGTATCCATTCTCTGTCAACTAAAGTTTGTTTCCTGTTTTCATTATTAGATGAGTATTACGATCGAAAGTTCAGGATAATTATTTAAATATAATGTGTTTATCTTGATTTTTTTTATATTTCCTAACAAAATATCTAGTAGTACAACAAATGTTAGTGAGTACAAATCTTAAACATGTTAAACTGGTGGTCCCGAAACTCCCGGACTCCCAAGGGTGTCGACCCCTGTGTGGAATGATTGGAAAAGCTATTGCTTGACGAGTTCATTGTAGGTGGATGGGATAAAATAGCCTTGATCTCTTTGGATAGAAGATCCGTTAGATGCCTGGCAAAGATTTTCTCGAGGTACGGACTCCCAGAGAAATTAGCGTTGGCCAATGGTCCCAATTATATCAGCCGAGTTTAAAAGTTTTCTCCATGAAAAAATGATAAATGTGTGACTCCCTATTGGCCTTCTGCTGCCTTATTGTTGGCAATTAATTTCTGGAAAAATATATCTGTCGTACATAAACATTTCAGGCTGTCAGCATAAACCACGAAATTTTCTTTCAACTCTGTTTTTTTCACCAAAATAATATTCTAATAAGAGCCCCCTGTTTCTAATTGTGAGAGCGCCCTAGGCGCTTATTTCATCGAATACGGTACCATGTTTACTGACCACAATTTGGACAATATCATGTTTTAGAGAAACTGATATTGACAAGGCCCTCATGAATGGCCAATAATTGATAAATATTATATGTAAAAATATTGTACTACATTGCAACAGGCAGCTTTAGGCAAATTAATCTGATAGTATAAAGTTCTGGGTTCCTAATCCCAGTTCGCTGGTAGGTAACGAATCTATAGTTAAAGATTGCCATATTTTCCATGGTAATTCTGTTGTCTGTATTGGTTTTGCGTTTGCAACTACTTGGCAAGCATGACACCGCCATATTGCTGGAATATTGCTATAAGCGGTGTAAAACCATACTCACTCACTCACTCACTCTGACAACTCCTTGGTGTGTCTCATGAGCTAATAGATTGAGTGTTTGTTTCTGAAGACTATTGGGCATCCCAATTCTGTTTCTTTTAAGGATAATACCATCATGTTCTGAAAGTTCATCCATGTGAGTCCCTTGTATCTTGTATCTGTCCTTGTTCTGCTTCAAGATTTCTTGACATCTGCCAGTTCATAATCTCTCTCTGTAGCTGATCTGATTTCTTTGAACTTGATTGCAATAGGGAGAGCATTTTTTGTGATGCACAGTGGTGAATATATTCTTCTGCCACATTGTGTCTTACTTTGCTAATTTCTTGTAGGAATCTTTATAAGGCATCTGTTGCATTTTGTGAACCACCTCCGTAAACAGCCTTAAAGTTGTGGGCTGTTGTCTGAACACCCATCCCTCAATTCTTGGTGGTTTTGAGGAATGAGAATTAATTACCTCTAATGGTTTATTGTCTGTTTCAAGCTCGAACTTGATTCCATACAGGTTCATGTGAAAAATTACTTCTTTCTTAGTCTGAGAATATCTTTTCTTTACATCTGTGAGTGTTGTACTCGCATGTGCTACTTGGTGAAAACTGTTAATGCCAGTCTAAATATCCAAACCAACCGCTGTACATGTGTAGGCACTTTGCTTCTTTATTTTTCTTTAGCTTCATACACAAAAACAAGCTGTCATTCCGGCCAGCAGATGCTCACAAACACGATATTTTTCCTGCAGCCAAAACTTGTCTTGTTTCTGAGTGAGGGAGGCTCAAAGTCCAACTGGACTCCCATCAACAATAAGTCTTGGCAAAGCGTCATCATAGTATGCCATAATGTTAGCACTAGCAAGTCTTCACTTCAGTTTCTTCAGTGAGTTTTGCTGTTCTTTTCCCCAGTGTCATACTGTATTTGATCTTGTAAGTTGTCTCATGGGCTCTGGGATAAGTGCCAGGTCAGGAATGCATGTAGCACTGAGGTTTGCAAGACCAGTATTCCCGTTTACTGGTAATTACCAGTTTTTTCCAAGTAGAATTAGGCTTGGGCCCGTAAATCATGTTACTGCCAGTCCCTGTGGACCGGCAAATATAGTACCTTATATATATATCTTTGTTGTTAAATAAGTATATTTTTGAAACTAAGTCAGCTTGTCTGTTACCATCAGGGTTTCCCTCGTCTATTATAGTGCAGGGAAATAACATTTCGCTTTGCTTCGAGGTTAAATATATATTTGTAGCGACTTAGTCTCGAAATATTGAAAAATGGAGACAATTGTGACTGAACTTTGTTTGAATGATGTGTTGATCTAATTAAGTTACTTCAGAGATGACGTCATTGCATTGAACATGATGTTGAAGGAATGAAAACCAGGTAATTTTCATATGTCTTTTTATTTGTTGAAAGTTGGGAATGACAAAAATTAGAAGGGATTGGTAACTTTTAGAGTTGCAAGTCCACTAGGACTGGCAGTATCAAAAGCAAGCGGGAACACCGAAGACCTCGGAGGAAACTTACTGAGTAGTTATTTGCCAAATGTCCTCTTGTCCTCTGAATCCATATCTATAGCAATTACATGTTTCTGTGATTTGGTAGAAGTAGAAAAGACTTGATTGACAATTTGTCGCTCACTACTTTCGAACTCTGTATCTTGAAACTCTACCATTTCCATAATTCTAGCAATCTCTGAGGCTTTGTTCAAAGTTAATAATCCTCACAGAGAAATTTCCTTCTCATCCTGGTAGATTTGCATTTATCTACCATTTGATCCCTTACATTTCCCCCATGTCATTGAAGTACAAGAGTTATAACACACTCTTTGAAATCATTGTGAAAAGAGCATGCTTGAACATGTTGGATGAACCTCATAAGTTGTGGAGTGTAGACACCGAAGGCTGGAGTTGCTGGAGGATTGTGTGACCTAAAGGGCAAATTGACTTGAGTTGGGGGGATGGGGGGTCACATTTCAGTCGGCAATATACAGTACTTAGTTATTAGTATGTAACACCATAGCATACAACTGTCATGTCACAGGACAGTGTCAAGATATGAAAGGATATGGTCCATCGCCAGCTGGTCTCATTCTCTTTGCATCATGATAAGTAGTTTGTCATGATTCATTTAACGTCAAATTGTGTATGGACCCAGCCCTTGTTCTTATTGGTTGTGTTTAGGAAATGCATCAACACGATTGAGAAAAGTGACGACGCTTTTGTGTTTTCAGTGAACACCATAACAAACACAAGATAATAATGGAAGGACAAAGCCAGACATCGAATCCTGACATGGTTTCTAAAACATTTGTTATTACGGACTGTCAGAGAGAACTGCTTGAAAAAAGTGGTCTCAAGAAACACTCCGCTACTGACACGCTGGACACAATTGATGTCAAGAAACACAGTGGAATCAATCCTTACCAGTGTGTTGAATGTGGGAAATCATTTAAAATATCAAGGAACCTGCAGAGACACTTGAGGATTCACAGTGGAATCAAGCCTTATCAATGTGTTGCATGTGGGAGAGAATTTACACTGTCAGCTGGCCTGCAGTCTCACATGAAGATTCACAGTGGAGTCAAGCCTTATCAGTGTGTTGTATGTGGGAAAGAATGTACACGGTCAGGCGACCTGCAGTCACACATGAGGATTCACACTGGAATCCAGCCTTATCAGTGTGTTGAATGTGGGAAAGCATTTACAGAGTCAGGTAACCTACAGAGACACATGAGGATTCACACTGGAATCCAGCCCTATGAGTGTGTTGAATGTGGGAAAAAATTTACACACTCAAGTAGCCTGAAGAAACACATGAGTATTCACAGTGGAATCAAGCCTTATCAGTGTGTGGAATGTGGGAAAAGATTCACACAATCAGGAAGCCTGAAGAAACACATGAGTATTCACAGTGGAATCAAGCCTTATCAGTGTGTTGAATGTGGGAAAGGATATACAGACCCAGGTAGCCTGAAGAAACACACAGATGTTCACAGTGGAATCCAGCCTTATCAGTGTGTCGAATGTGGGAAAAGATTCACACAATCAGGTAGCCTTAAGGAACACATGAGGACTCACAGTGGAATCCAGCCTTATCAGTGTGTTGAATGTGGGAAAAGATTTACACACTCAGGTAGCCTGAAGAAACACACAAATGTTCACAGTGGAATCAAGCCTTATCAGTGTGTTGAATGTGGGAAAAGATTTACACAATCAAGTAGCCTTAAGGAACACATGAGGACTCACAGTGGAATCCAGCCTTATCAGTGTGTTGAATGTGGGAAAAGATTTACACACTCAGGTAGCCTGAAGAAACACATGAGTGTTCACAGTGAAATCAAGCCTTATCCGTGTGTTGAATGTGGGAAAAGATTTACACAATCCGGTAGCCTGAAGAAACACATGACTATTCACAGCAGAATAAAGCCTTAACAGTGTGTTGAATGTGGGAAAGGAAACAAAAAGTCATTATTCCGGCAGAGACACATGAAGATCCACAGTGGAATCAAGCCTTCCCAGAAGGAAGAGCAGTGTTAAATCAGTCATGCTTCAACTTTGAAATGAAATTCATTTTTGGTCAAGGTCCAGATTGATGATCCCGCGTGAGAATTCTCTCGTGAGTCATTTTGAATCAGACCCAGCTGACTTTGTTGAGCGATTTGAAAGCCAGTATATTGCAATACACTCAAAGCCTTACGTACTGATATTTTTCAATACAGTCACAGAAGAATTAATATCAATTTTAGCTACTATCTTGTCACTGTTGTCAGGTACCATTTCTGGTATCTTGGTAGGCAGCTTTGATTCATGAGTAGTTCCACTGGACTCTTCCCAGTCATATTTTTGGGGAGTCATCATGTATTATAGAAGAAATTTTGGTATTTCTGCCCTCCAGTCCCTTCCATCTGTTCTTAATATTTTAATAGCTTTCGGTATTACCTGTTCGTTTGATCTGCTCCTCCATTAGCAGCAGGCCAGTGAGGAGTCACACGTTTATCCTGGATAACATTTTCTTGGAAAAAGCTTTCAAACTTGGCTGATATGAACTGGGGTCCATTGTCCGGGGTTATTTTCTATGGGAGTCAATTGCTCAAAAAAATCTTTGCCAGGCATCTGACAGATCGTCTGGTAGCCTAGTGGTTAAAGCGTTCACTCGTCACACCGAAGACCCGGGTTCGATTCCCGACATGGGTACAATGTGTGAAGCCCATTTCTGGTGTCCCCCGCCGTGATATTGCTGGAATATTGCTAAAAGCGGCGTAAAACCATACTCACTCACTCTGTCAACAGAGATCAAGGCTATTTCATCCCATCCGCCTACAATGACATCATCAAACAATAATAATTCCTGTCTAAGTGTGTACAGATGATGCAATAATGGAGGTCACACCTTTTGGTGCAAATTCTTTTCCTATCGGTATATAGCTGAATTCTTTTGTTGAAGAGATGCTGGTATGAACATAAATGTAAGTTTATATTCTTTCATCTTTTCATGTCCTCTTGTACTGTGTTTTCGAGCCCCTAGGACATATTTCTGGTTATGTGTCACCAAGTGAGATGAGTCAATCAGGTGCCATTTTGTTTCCGTCATATGAGTTATGCAAATCAAGCAAAAGCTTTAACCTCCAGGTTACTTAATTATAAAGGTGACTGGATGTACACAACATGTAACCTGGTTTATTGTATGTCATTGTACCAAACGGAGAGAATTGTTGCCCATTCCATCAACCACCAACTACTCTGATGTGCCAGGCAAAGATTTGTTTATTAACCATGTGTTAACAGGCCACCATGATATTGTTTAATAAGAGCACAATGTGGAATAAAAAACTTTCTACCATGACACTGAAGAGTTAGAATGCTTCTGATTTGTCAAATTCAGGTATCGATTTCCAATTGATACCTCAAAATTAACAAACCTTTTCACACAAAGCCCTTGCATATGAAAATATTGATCTATTGATAGCCTACACATTGATGCATATAACAATGGCTGCTGTTGATAACACATTGGATTGAATACGTTCGACATCAGAACAGCTTATTAAACAAGATTAAATCAATTTCAGAACACACATAATTTAGTAAAAGACACACTATCCACTGTGTCACGACAACACAATCATCAGTCACAAAAATGAACATTCTCTCTTGTGTCATTCAATGCTGCCTTGTCTCCAGCTTAAAATGGCGGTATTCAGCCACACTTCAGGGTAGGTCCGTTGGCAATGAAATTCATTTCCACCAGTTACTATCAAGTAAATGGTGAACATAATTACAAAATAGGGTAGTCTGGGCTCATGCAATCTGTCAAGAGCACTGTCTCTATGAACAAGTATTTTGGCAGCCATGGACAGTTAACAGCAACGGGAGTGGGTTAATGTAACCATGTCGAAATTCTGTGTGGAGTCATTCTGAATATATATTACTGTTACTGGGGACATATTTCCAACCATAGGGTACATAAGCAGATAAGTGCAACTTAAACTATTACAATGGCAACACTGTGATTTTATAAGTTATTTGAGAAATAAATTAGTTCAGCATTTTTTGTCACTATTTCTATAACCTGTCATCCCTACAGTGGAAGGTGTCATGTTGATTTCCAAGAAATGATTGGTTGAGTCCAAGCTTTGCAAATATCAACAGGGTGCGATGATATTAAATGAATGTCTGTGGAATCTATTTCATCAATTCTTTTTTAAAAATCTATGTATTTTGTAAGCATAATGTTCAAAATAGTTAAGAATACGATCAATTTATCTTGAACTTGAATAATATTTCATGAGCTTCTTTCCAAAATACGTTGTATCTAATCTACAGGTAGACTACCTCAAATTTGAAAACACAGTAGGTTTATCTCCTAGTTCGCTCTCTTTGCTCATACAAAGGTGACAATTTAAATACAAGATAATGTGAGAATGAGTTTGACAAAACATGTTGCCATGTTACAGTTTTAATGTGTTCTTTTTAGCATGATTAGTGTGGGACCATTCATTGATACATGAATGCATCACATACAACTGTCAATATTGTAGGTCAGGGAAAGAGGCACAAAACTACTTAAGCATGTTAAGTAGGTAACTTGAATTGTGGCTGACTTATTAGCATCATTAGTGGCGAGACCACTGACACATCAGTGTATCACGATGCATTAAACTTCTTTATGACTAATCTGTAGGTCGGTGGATTAATACAAATTAAAGCGCCAAAAAACATTCCATAGCATAAGAAATCTTTACTCAAAGCAATCGATTGTATGATACTGACTTTATCATATACATGTGATTTTGAATCACCATCAAATAGTGATGATACCAGGTGTTCTCGAGAAGATCAGTGTATCCTGGCACCCATCACAAACTCATGCAAGGGCAAGTCAATAGTTCATGTGAAAAAACATCGGAACACATGATACATCAGAAGATTGCGGATACTTACAAAGTGAAAACAAGCCATTCCGCTGATACAGAATATCACTGACAATGAGGACAAAAATTGCAAAGTGCGCTTTGAAAAAATACACACTACTGTAAGTAATACTCCTTATCCCCTGAATGGCTTGTTATCACTTTATGAGTGTCAGCACACATGCAGCTACTTTCACTAATTAATCATCACTATATAATATTTCATGATTCTATATCAAGTGGGGAGAGATGTAGTTGTTATTGGTAATGTTCTTGTGAAAACGGGGTGGTCGGGTAGCCTAGTGGTTAAAGCGTTCGCTCGTCACGCCAAAGACCCGGGTTCGAATCCCGACATGGGTACAATGTGTGAAGCCCATTTCTGGTGTCCCCTGCCGTGATATTGCTGGAATATTGCTAAAAGCGGCGTAAAACCATACTCCCTCACTCACACTCACTCTTGTGAAAACATCTTCAGGAAATGCATAAGTCAATAAAGGAAAGTGACAACTCTTTTATGTTTTCAGTGAACACCATAACATCCACAAGTTAATAATGGAAGTACAAAGCCAACCACAGATTCCTGGCTCTGTTACTGAAACATGTGTAGTCAGGGACTGTGGGAGAGAATTGCTGGAAACAGGTGATGTCAAGAGACACCCTGTTACTAACACTCAGGAAAAAAGTGTTGTCAAGAAACACAAAGGAATTGAGCCTTATCAGTGTGTTGAATGTGGGAAAGAATTTACGCAATCACGTTACCTACAGAGACACATGAGGATTCACACTGGAGTCAAGCCTTATCAGTGTATTGTATGTGGGAAAGAATTCACAGAGTCAGGTAACCTGCAGAGACACATGAGAATTCACAGTGGAATCCAGCCTTATCAGTGTGTTGAATGTGGGAAAGGATTTACAGAGTCGGGTAATCTGCAGAAACATATGAGTATTCACACTGGAATCAAACCTTATCAGTGTGGTGAATGTGGGAAAGAATTTACACAATCACTTTACCTGCAGAGACACATGAGGATTCACAGTGGGATAAAGCCTTATCAGTGTGTTGAATGTGGGAAAGAATTTTCAGAGTCAGGTAACCTACAGAGACACATAAGGATTCACAGTGGAATAAAGCCTTATCAGTGTGCTGAATGTGGGAAAGGATTTACAGAGTCAGGTAACCTGGAGAAACACATGAGGATTCACAGTGGTATAAAGCCTTATAAGTGTGTTGAATGTTGAAAAGAATTTACCAGATCCTGTCACCTGCAATCACACATGAGGATTCACAGTGGAATCAAACCTTATGAGTGTGTTGAATGTGGGAAAACATTTACACAATCATGTCACCTGCGAAAACACGTGAGGATTCACAATGGAATCAAACCTTATGAGTGTGTTGAATGTGGGAAAACATTTACAGTATCAGGTAGTCTGAAGACACACATGAATAATCACAGTGGAATCAAGCCTTATCAGTGTATTGAATGTGGGAAAAAATTTACCCAATCATGTCACCTGCAGAGACACATGAGGACTCACAGTGGAATCAAGCCTTCCCAGCAGACATAAGTATGTTGAATCAATGCTGTGCTTCAACGTTGAAATGAGATTGCGATTTTTGTCCAAGTCAAGGTTGATCATCTCTTGTAAGAAATTTAGAGTTTGTAATCAAACTCAGCTGATTTTGTTGAATTATTTGTTACCATGGATGCACCACTGTCAACCAGAGACTAACAACAGTCAAGGCAGTGGAAACATCTAATCTATCTGAAGATTTATTTTCCACCAGGACAATTAACCTGTACACAAATCTGTTGTCACCATGACTACAGTGCATGACTGTGGCTTTGAACTCCTTGAACATCCTCCATATTCAACCTAATTCCTGTGTTACAGCATTGCCATAAGCCAGTATTAAGGCTGTCATGACATTCTAAATATCTAGATTTTTTAACAGAAAGGCCTCTTCACTGTCAGCTGAATGTAATTAGTTGTGTGGATAGTAGTTTTCCTCTGTTGTTGTTCTAGACATAAGTCAACATAGAAAACAAGTTCTGATAATATCCAGCATACTTTTGGTAGTTGTCATGCAGATAGTGAATCTTTTTTTATTTTAATATACATCATGATACATCATAGATTCTGTTCTCCGTGATGTTCACTTCAATAAACTGGTACGCCGTGATATAACTGGAATACTGTTAAAAGCGGCGTTAAACCCAACTCACTCACTCACTCAATAAACAGGTGGAGCGATAAAGAATGAGACAGCTTCTAGAAAGCTAGTGACAGCCATCTGTCCTCCATTGTGAGTGAAGTAGAATGAATAAAGAAGCAACAACACGATATGACTAAGAAGTATTCCCATGACAAGAGGCCAGAAGTGGGACGGATGACTTTCTGGTATCTCGTTTGATATGGAAGACATCACAACCATAGAGGTTTGACGAATACTGCACGAATACTGGTTGCATACAACGATTACCATCAGGTACTGGCTTGATCATGCACAAGCTATGGATACCTTGGTTCCTTCTGTACCTTAGGCTTTACGAGGAAGCATCTGGTGCCAAGGACCATCACCAGAGAACTGCCAATTTTATCGCACCATTGGCCATGTTGACTTATACCTAACCAAGAGGGTACACTTAAGGAACAAGGTAGGGGAGGAGCGATATCTATACAAGCCATGGTTCGTGGGTGTCCTTTGGACTGCACGTTCAGGGCTGGTCACCATGGGACTCCATTGAATCACTGTTGTCAAGAAGACCAGTGGTCTACTCTGGATCATGGATAACAACCTTGGTGGCTACCAGGGGACAAAGACGCATCGGACTCCGAGGGGGGGCCTACATCCCAGAGGCTTGAATGTCCGGGATTGTATGGTTCATCATCATCCACTACTAAGATGTCCAAAACTTCCATGGCCAGGCTTCACGAAACAAATCATCACTTGACCTCGTGAGGGCCTTAATAAATTGAAGGGTGATGAAAGGTTTCCACTACCCCAATTGAAGAAGCAAATCTACGAGACTCATGAGAATCCATTCCCTAATGTCTCTTCAGTTGATAAGGATTACTTAAAGCTGGTGAAGTTTCCTGACAACAAGATGTCGTTGCCTACATGAAGAAACAGGATTTGGTGTCTGTTAACAGACAGATGATGGAGATCGGATTTACATCAATTGCTTTGTGACATGAGTTTGCCATGTAATACCCCTATTCAGGAAACACATATGCCCAGTGATACACCCCTCTCAATGATGTTGAACCAAGTAGGCTAGCCTTGTCTGACAGGACGTTTGCAGATGTTGTCTGAGTTAAAATACAAAAAAAGTCAGGGAACCGGAACATTGACTCGTTTTTTCTGCCACATCCATCATAGGCACCGCAATAGCGGTTTTCGTTGAGATTGAAAGTACATCATGTCCCACCTTTGTTTTTTTTCCTCGAGTGTTCTGAAAGATGAAAAGCGAGAGACTAAAGTGGTGCATAGCGAGCTACATGTGCAAAGAATATTATGGATGTAACATATCACTGAGAGTATATTTTTATGAACCGGTGAAATGACAAGTCTCCATCTACTATATGAAGTGTTATCCCAGCCATCTTTCCCAATTCGTTGCATCTGGATTGATGTTAAATTGCCGGAAAGAAGTGAGGGTTTTTTGCCTTGCCCATGCACAGAGCACAGTGCAGAGGTAAACTATTATCCACATTATTTATTAGGATCAGCTGAAAGTGAAGTGGACTTCTGTTGGAAATCAAAAAGGTTTTTTTAGTTTGTCTGTTGACAGTCAAAATACAGGATTTAGGCAAAGAGGTTTATGAGGTAATATTCTTCGAATTCTTGACAATGATCAATATTGTTTGATAGTTGGCACCATCAGATTTCCAACTCTTTGTAAACAAGAAATAAGATCTGTCTGGCAAGCATATGCAAATAATGCTGACATGGTTTCTGATGTGTAATACATTTTACACCATCAGAATGAAACCTTCTACACCAGTTGGATCCAGGCACTCCAGCATTGGCAGAAGTGTGTGGACCTGGGAGGGGACTATATTGAAAAATAATAGCATGCAACTCCATCAGTGCATCCATCATTTGTCCATCATAGTTCGTATTCACCTGCCCTTCTTAACTCATTCAATATTTCTTGATGAATATTTAATTTTATACACCATATTGTTACAATCTTGTTGTTATTCTAGGTTAAAATAGGTCCCCATCAACCTTGCCAGGTATGACATTGACATCTGTTAAGAACAAATGTAAAGGTAGAGAAAGGTCATACCGATTAGTATAATTAATTGTGTATTGACTTTGTGTTGTAAGGAAGGAATATGTGCGATGTCCCCCCAAATATTCAAGGAACTTAGATTTGATGTTTATGATGGTATAATTAAGTAAACAACTCCAATAGTCATGACACTTGGGATTATAGTTGCTTTACACAACTCATTTAGATGTGACATTTTCAGCTCAATCAACTGGGAGCAAGCAACCCTTAAGAACTTGTTAATTGACCCAGTGTATTCTTAAAGATGAGCATTGGTCAACGGATGAATTCCTAATCATGCTTATGTTATTGTTGCTGGGTTGTGAATTTACCGCAAACACTGTTATATGCTCCATGCAAGTGCTCTATGGCAGGCAAACCAGTCTAAGAAAGCACAGACAATGCAATTGAGGTCACACTTTTTATCGAGGAATCTTTTCCTGTTGATAAATAGCTGAATTTTGTTGTTAAAGACATCAACTACCAGAATGAACACAAATGTAAATTTTCATTCTCGGTGTAACGATTGATGTTGTTTGGCTGTTCGAAAATAGGGTATGCAAGGATATATATGTAGCATGGACATGTATCATCTAATCCCTGTCTCGAAGATTAACCATAATCCTTAATACAATCACAGGAGGACTTTGTTTATATTCACAGTGCCTGAATCATGTTTGGTAAAGAAATGTTATAACTTATTTTTTTAGACTGTAGTAATGGTAAAACTAACTGGGCATCAAAAGTAAAACACATCCTATTCTCTACTGGTGTTGGTTACATATGGGAACAACAATTTATAAGTAATATCTCAAGCTTTCTGTCGGAATTCATACTCCGTCTAAAATTATCTTATGAACAAAATTGGCACACAGCTCTTTCATCAAGCTAAAAATCAACTCTTTACAGTTTATTCAAAACAAATTTCGGCTTAGAAACATATTTAAAAGAATTATCATTTTTTAAATATAAATATATAGCTCCGAATTGAGACTGAGAGGTATGAATAAGAGTTAAAATCTGAAAGGTTGTGTCTGGCTTGCAATCAAAATCAAATTGAAGATGAATTTCATTTTATAATAATTTGTGATCGATATGTACATTTAAGACGAATATTTATATATATATATATGTAAATCACCTAAAATTTACCTTTATATTAAAATGTTTCTCTCTCACTGTATACTCTGTAATGTATAATGGGCCTGTGGCCTACAACACATAATGAATAAAGACTCTATGATATTCACAGAAAGTGAATTGGAATTAATAATATGTGGATTCTCAAAAACTCAAAAGAATTGCTTGACATTTTACTGTCTCAGAAAAGAACCAAGTTCAATTCTGTCAAAACATTTAAGTTTTTAGTTCTGTGCACCACGATCCTACATGACAGACCAGCTTTAGGACAAACTTAAGGAAAAACTTCATTCCTTGATCCAGGGGGCTTTTGTTACAAAACGTGACCATAGATACAGTAGCCTATCTATCCTCAGAGGTTCAGAGGAATTTGTCAAAAATGAAAGCAATTGTCATTGAAAGTTTACTGAGAAAACAGTACCGGTAAATGAAATGCTGGACTTCCTAATTGGTAATTACATCTTTGTAAAATTTTGGGTAAAGACATATAAGCAAGAAGTAGACATCCCAAAAAGTTCAACTTAACATGGATATGGTCAGAATCGTACAGTCGACTCTAGTTTTGGCAGAGATTTCTTATGAATACAGAAAAGTTTTTGTAAATGCCTGAAATTCCAAAGTTAGATCTTATGCAAATTGGCTGAAGTTACATGATCTGAGCAGGTAATGATACTTTGTATCTCTGCTTTAACTACTGTCAGGAAATACCCAACATTTTCAAACAAAACATTGAATCAAATGAAGTGCAAGCAAGCTACGTAGAGACTTTAGGCCCTATTACCTATATAACAATAGTCCGTGCTCACATTGAATTGACCCTGGGTTGATTATGGAGTAGTGTGAGTGAGTATGGGTTTATGCCATTTTATGCAATATTCCAGCAATGTCAATGTAGGGAACACCAGAAATGGGCTTCACACATGTACCCATGTTGGAATCGAACCGGGGCCTTTGGCGTAACGATGACATGATTTAACCAGGAGGCTGCCCACCTGCCCAAATCATGATGGTGACTTGGACACAACATGTCACCTGGCTTATTGTGTGTCATTGTTCTAAACGGTGAGAATTGTTAAACGCCCAGTAAAATAACTAGAACAAATACCTCTTTTGATCTTGTGGTAAGATAAGGTCTCTCATTAGTTCTGATATTTGGCATCTGGATTATATTGATATGAAAAGTAATACAATTTACATTTGTTTTATCATTATGCTATGAAATTAATCACAAATAGATGTAATAATTTGGGAGACATAATTGATTGATTTCAATCATGTGTTTTTATCCCCCCGGAATATAATGTGGGGGGATATAGCGATCAGCCAGTCTGTCTGTCCGTCCGTCTGTCCGTCCGTAATCATTTCCTTTTCCGAGGCAGAACTCGAAAACAATTCAGTGTATTTGATCGAGACTTTGCAAATCTATCAGTCACATACTGAAGTTGTGCCTTTTGCTAGGAATTTTAGAAATTTGTATTTTTTACGTTTCCATGGCAACAAGTTGGACTTAGGTTCTATAGGGTAGAGTTCATTTCCGGAGCATAACTCAAAAACTGTTAAATACCTTCTTACAAAACTTTGCATGTCTACCAGGCACATACTGAACTGGTGTCTTTTGCTATTTAGGAATTTAAAAAAAAATTTTTTTTACGTTTCCATGGCAACAAGTTGGATTTAAGTTTTAATATAGGGTGGGTTCACTTATGGAGTATAACAAATTAACTGTTAAATATTTCCTTGCCAAACATTGCATGTCTATATATAAAGCACATACTGAACTGGTGCCATTTGATATTAAGGAGTTTTAGAAATGTTTATTTTAGAATTTCAATTGCAGCTGTTTTGACAGGGGCTATGAGAAATGTTGGGTCAGTTACCTGGTTTGGAACCATAATGTGTTAAAATGGGTGGGGGATATAGGTGACTTCGTTGACTATACGCTTGTTTAGTTATTGTTTCTTGTAATTTGTCACTTGTATGCATAAAAAAACCCCACAGAAACACACTTATTTTACTTTCCATTTCATATGGATGCGACCATGGTGGATCATTTGTGGGTAAACAATGTATGCTACTTCAAGAACATTCAACTCTTGACTCATTACAAACAGAATTGCATATTACTTGTGGTTACTTTACAGACAGCTGCCGGGGGGATATGTCATCTTTCTGATGACTCTTGTTTTACTCTGTATATTTTTGTAGAAATGTTGGGGTTAATTGGGATAATGATCAAGAAGAATATGTTCTCAATTTTTAATTAATTTTGTACTGTGACATATATCATTTGTACATAACTGTGGAACACATCCATGTGTATCCTGTTTCTCACAGGATGAGACAATAGTCATTGCCCTTCAACAAATGATAGTTATCATGTTTCGGCGCTTTGTGTGAGGTTTTAGAAAGTTTATTACACATGACACTTGTTACCTACTGGATATGAATATGTTATTATCAGTGTGTTGAATGTGAGAAAATCATTTACAGTATCAGGTAGTGTATCCTGATACATATCAAATCATCAAATTGTGTTAGCTCCCATCCCTGGTTGTTATTGGTGGTGTTCTTGTGGAAACATCTTAAGGAAATGGATTATGCACGACTCTTTTATGTTTTCAGTGAACACCATAACACCCACAAGTTAATAATGGAAGTACAAAGCCCACCACAGAATCCAGGCTCTGAAACATGTGTTGTCTTGGACAGTGAGAGAGATTTGCTGGAAACAGATGATCTCAGGAAAAACACTGTTTCTGACGTGATAGAAACAGGTGATATCAAGAAACAGGAGGGAATCAAGCCTGATCAGTGTGTTGTATGTGGGAAAGAGTTTAAATGTTCAAGTAAACTGAAGGCACACATGAAGATTCACACTGGAAACAAGTCTTATCAGTGTGGTGAATGTGGGAAACAATTTAGACAATCATATAACCTGCAGAGACACATTAGGAGCCACAGTGGAATCAAACCTCATCAGTGTGATGAATGTGGGAAAGAATTTTCAGAGTTAGGTAGCGTGCAGAGACACATGAGGATTCACAGTGGAATCAAGCCTTATAAGTGTGTTGAATGTGGGAAAGAATTTGCGCATTCAGATAGCTTGCAGTCACACATGAGGATTCACAGTGGAATAAAGCCTTATCAGTGTGTTGAGTGTGGGAAAACATTTACAGAGTCAGGTAACCTGCAGAGACACATGAGGGTTCACAGTGGAATCAAGCCTTATAAGTGTGTTGAATGTGGGAAAGAATTTGCATATTCAGATAGCCTGCAGTCACACATGAGGATTCACAGTGGAATAAAGCCTTATCAGTGTGTTGAGTGTGGGAAAACATTTACAGGGTCAAGTAACCTGCAGACACACATGAGGATTCACAGTGGAATAAAGCCTTTTCAGTGTGCTGAATGTGGGAAAGAATTTTCACGATCATGTCATCTGCAGATACACATGAGTATTCACAGTGGAAACAAGTCTTATCAGTGTGGTGAATGCGGGAAACGATTTACACAATCATATAACCTGCAGAGACACATTAGGAGTCACAGTGGAATCAAGCCTTATCAGTGTGTTGAATGTGGGAAAGAATTTTCAGAGTCAGGTAGTCTGCAGAGACACATGAGGATTCACAGTGGAGTCAAGCCTTACAAGTGTGTTGAATGTGGGGAAAAATTTACATATTCAGATAGCCTGCAGTCACACATAAGGAGTCACAGTGAAATCCAGCCTTATCAGTGTGGTGTGTGTGAGAAAACATTTACAGAATCATGTCATCTGCAGACACACATGAAGATTCACAGTGGAGAGAAACCTTATCAGTGTGTTGAATGTGGGAAACAATTTGCAAAATCAGGTGGCCTGCAGAGACACATGAGGATTCACAGTGGAATAAAGCCTTATAAGTGTGTTGTATGTTGGAAAGAATTTACTGAGTCAAGTAACCTGCAGAAACACATGAGGACTCACAGTAGAATCAAGCCTTCCTAGTACTGGTAGGCACAGCAAAGTTGAATCAGTGTTATACTTCATCGATATTGATATTTTGGTCCAGATCCAGGTCCATTATCACTCATGAGAATTTAGGCTGCTTTGAATCAAACCCAGCTGTTTTTGTTGAGCAATTTGTTACATGGATGCATCTTGGGCTCACCACCATCAGCCAGAGACTAATCAGTCAAAGCAGTGAAATGTCTAACGTCTCCTTTGGGCAGCTTAGTGGCTAAAACGTTCGCTTGTCATGCCAAAGAAATGGGTTCGATTCCCAACATAGGTATATTGCCATATTTTGCTGTAATATTGCAAAAAAGAATAAAAGAATATGAAGGCTTAATCATGTTAATGTTGTATTCCACCAGGATAATGCACCTATAATCTATAAATCTGTTGTCGCCATGACGACAATGCATGACTGTGGCTTTGAACTCATTGAACTTCTCCTTATTCCCCCAAATTCCTTCAAACACCAAACTCTGACTCTGACGTGTTGTGTGGATAATAGTTTCCTCCACCATTGTCAGTGGTAGAAACTAACAGTAGAGGATGGGGCTCGGACGAGTCCAAATTTACTACCCGGGTACCCATCCCCCTATTACCCGACCCTACCCAGTTACCCACTGTAGGTCTCAAGAGATAGATACAAAATGTCCGATTGGGTATTTTTTTACCCTAGCCCTGGCAAAACATATTTAGCTACATGTCTCAAACAATCTGGTCATGCATACACTGAAGTTGTATCTTTTTTCAACCATACCAAAGTCAGAAGGAATGGGTGCATAGTCCGAAAGAAATGCGAACATAAGTGACTTGTAGTGTAACCATTAGAATTCCAGATCATTTTTGTCATTAAAGAACATATCACGTGACTAACCACGGGTCCGGGTAGTCCTGCGGGTACCTTGGTCCTACTCAGTACCCACCCGACCGGGGTTCCCGAGTTACCCGTCCCACCCCTAGTCGGGGAACTATATTGGAAATAACTTTTGTCAGTGATGTGTCAATTTTGGAAATGGCCTCCATATACCTATGATAATTATTTTGGAAAGCTTTACTGAGGCCTTGAATGTTGTAATCTTGATCAATATGGGATAGTGGTGTATAGAGTTGAAAAATCAAATGTTTTAACAAAACTGAACTTGGTCAAGCAAATCCTTTGAGTTTTTGAGAATCCACATATTATTTATTCACATGTCTCAAATACATTCTGTGAATATAAGTAAAGCCCTTCCTTGATTGTGCTAAGGATTATGGTTACTCTTGAGACAGAGATTTGGTGGTACATTTGCTTAACCCACCAATATATCTTATTCTGTACATATTTTTATGGAGCTTTGGAGTCCAGTACAAAAGAGGAATAGACATGTCTTCAAGTTTTAGTCAAGCCAAAAGTGGATAGTACTGATGGATGTTTTGGCAGATTTCTTTCTCAGTTAAGAACATTCAACTCTTGACTCATTACAAACAGAATTGCATATTTACTTGTGGTTACTTTACAGACAGCTGCCGGGGGGATATGTCATCTTTCTGATGACTCTTGTTTTACTCTGTATATTTTTGTAGAAATGTTGGGGTTAATTGGGATAATGATCAAGAAAAATATGTTCTCAATTTTTAATTAATTTTGTACTGTGACATATATCATTTGTACATAATTGTGGAACACATCCATGTGTATCCTGTTTCTCACAGGATGAGACAATAGTCATTGCCCTTCAACAAATGATAGTTATCATGTTTCGGCGCTTTGTGTGAGGTTTTAGAAAGTTTATTACACATGACACTTGTTACCTACTGGATATGAATATGTTATTATCAGTGTGTTGAATGTGAGAAAATCATTTACAGTATCAGGTAGTGTATCCTGATACATATCAAATCATCAAATTGTGTTAGCTCCCATCCCTGGTTGTTATTGGTGGTGTTCTTGTGGAAACATCTTAAGGAAATGGATTATGCACGACTCTTTTATGTTTTCAGTGAACACCATAACACCCACAAGTTAATAATGGAAGTACAAAGCCCACCACAGAATCCAGGCTCTGAAACATGTGTTGTCTTGGACAGTGAGAGAGATTTGCTGGAAACAGATGATCTCAGGAAAAACACTGTTTCTGACGTGATAGAAACAGGTGATCTCAAGAAACAGGAGGGAATCAAGCCTGATCAGTGTGTTGTATGTGGGAAAGAGTTTAAATGCTCAAGTAAACTGAAGGCACACATGAAGATTCACACTGGAAACAAGTCTTATCAGTGTGGTGAATGTGGGAAACAATTTAGACAATCATATAACCTGCAGAGACACATTAGGAGCCACAGTGGAATCAAACCTCATCAGTGTGATGAATGTGGGAAAGAATTTTCAGAGTTAGGTAGCGTGCAGAGACACATGAGGATTCACAGTGGAATCAAGCCTTATAAGTGTGTTGAATGTGGGAAAGAATTTGCGCATTCAGATAGCTTGCAGTCACACATGAAGATTCACAGTGGAATAAAGCCTTATCAGTGTGTTGAGTGTGGGAAAACATTTACAGAGTCAGGTAACCTGCAGAGACACATGAGGGTTCACAGTGGAATCAAGCCTTATAAGTGTGTTGAATGTGGGAAAGAATTTGCATATTCAGATAGCCTGCAGTCACACATGAGGATTCACAGTGGAATAAAGCCTTATCAGTGTGTTGAATGTGGGAAAACATTTACAGGGTCAAGTAACCTGCAGACACACATGAGGATTCACAGTGGAATAAAGCCTTTTCAGTGTGCTGAATGTGGGAAAGAATTTTCACGATCATGTCATCTGCAGATACACATGAGTATTCACAGTGGAAACAAGTCTTATCAGTGTGGTGAATGCGGGAAACGATTTACACAATCATATAACCTGCAGAGACACATTAGGAGTCACAGTGGAATCAAGCCTTATCAGTGTGTTGAATGTGGGAAAGAATTTTCAGAGTCAGGCAGTCTGCAGAGACACATGAGGATTCACAGTGGAGTCAAGCCTTACAAGTGTGTTGAATGTGGGGAAAAATTTACATATTCAGATAGCCTGCAGTCACACATAAGGAGTCACAGTGAAATCCAGCCTTATCAGTGTGGTGTGTGTGAGAAAACATTTACAGAATCATGTCATCTGCAGACACACATGAAGATTCACAGTGGAGAGAAACCTTATCAGTGTGTTGAATGTGGGAAACAATTTGCAAAATCAGGTGGCCTGCAGAGACACATGAGGATTCACAGTGGAATAAAGCCTTATAAGTGTGTTGTATGTTGGAAAGAATTTACTGAGTCAAGTAACCTGCAGAAACACATGAGGACTCACAGTAGAATCAAGCCTTCCTAGCAATGTTGAATCAATGTTTATACTTCATCGATATTGATATTTTGGTCCAGATCCAGGTCCATTATCACTCAAGAGAATTAAGGCTGCTTTGAATCATCCTAGCTGTTTTTGTTGAGCAGTTTGTTACATGGATGCATCTTGGGCTCAACACCATCAGCCAGAGACTAATCAGTCAAAGCAGTGAAACGTCTGACGTCTCCTTTGGGCAGCTTACTGGCTAAAAAGTTCTTTGTCACGCTAAAGAAATGGGTTCGATTCCCAACATGGGTATATTGCCATATATTGCTGTAATATTGCAAAAAAGAATAAAAGAATATGAAGGCTTAATCATGTTAATGTTGTATTCCACCAGGAAAATGCACCTATAATCTATAAATCTGTTGTCGCCATGACGACAATGCATGACTGTAGCTTTGAACTCATTGAACTTCTCCTTCTTCCCCCAAATTCCTTCAAACACCAAACATCTATTACATCATTGCCATAATCCTGTATTTTGGATGGCATCACAATGTTCATATCCAGATTTTCCACAGAAAGTTGTCATCACCGTCAGCTGACTCTGACGTGTTGTGTGGATAATAGTTTCCTCCACCATTGTCAGTGGTAGAAACTAACAGTAGAGGATGGGGCTCGGACGAGTCCAAATTTACTACATGGGTACCCATCCCCCTATTACCCGACCCTACCCAGTTACCCACTGTAGGTCTCAAGAGATAGGTACAAAATGTCCGATTGGGTATTTTTTTACCATAGCCCTGGCAAAACATATTTAGCTTCTTGTCTCAAACAATCTGGTCATGCATACACTGAAGTTGTATCTTTTTTCAACCATACCAAAGTCAGAAGGAATGGGTGCATAGTCCGAAAGAAATGCAAATATAAGATCATTTTTGTCATTAAACAACATATCACGTGACTAACCACGGGTCCGGGTAGTCCTGTGGGTACCTTGGTCCTACTCAGTACCCCCCCCCACCCCTAGTCGGGGAACTATATTGGAAATAACTTTTGTCAGTGATGTGTCAATTTTGGAAATGGCCTCCATATACCTATGATAATTATTTTGGAAAGCTTTACTGAGGCCTTGAATGTTGTAATCTTGATCAATATGGGATAGTGGTGTATAGAGTTGAAAAATCAAATGTTTTAACAAAACTGAACTTGGTCAAGCAAATCCTTTGAGTTTTTGAGAATCCACATATTATTTATTCACATGTCTCAAATACATTCTGTGAATATAAGTAAAGCCCTTCCTTGATTGTGCTAAGGATTATGGTTACTCTTGAGACAGAGATTTGGTGGTACATTTGCTTAACCCACCAATATATCTTATTCTGTACATATTTTTATGGAGCTTTGGAGTCCAGTACAAAAGAGGAATAGACATGTCTTCAAGTTTTAGTCAAGCCAAAAGTGGATAGTACTGATGGATGTTTTGGCAGATTTCTTTCTCAGTTAACATACTGTCCTTGTATGTGACATTTTTATGTCCAATCACTGGATTGTATGGTCTAGACTGATTATTTACAGACCACCGTCTGGAATATTGCTGAGTGTGGTCTTAAACAAACAAGCAAACGTTTCATGTGTCCCTTAAACCATGTTATTTGATCAAACAATTAATGTATTGATTCTTGCATATAATATTAATGTTATTTGAGGCTTTGAAAGCTATGAGGCTATAAACTTTTCATGTTGGGCAGCCAGACTTCAGATGACAGTTGGTTGGGACAGAATAGGTTGATTACTTTTTCCTTTTGTGCATTCTACCAATGACAACATCATGCACAGAATTAACACACTCTGAAAGACATTCAAAGGTTGCTCTTCTCTTTTGGTCTCTTTTGGAGAAGCCTAGTGGTTAAAGTGTTCGCTCGTCACGCCAAAGACCTGTTTACCCTGTTAAATATAGCCTAAATATAGTCAAATGACTTCCGAAGCTCACCGGTTCGTTAGCACAAAAACATTCAACATTTAGGGACGACAGGACAAAGCAGACACTGTTGAGAGTTTGTTTTATATTTTATTACCACCTAGTCGTTTTCCACAACACAGTTGTCCCTTGGGCACGCCAGAAGCAAATGATTGTTGGTTCGAATCCCGGCTCTCCCCGATTATGTTTCTAGGTTAGTCAGCACCGTGCTCGTGGGTTTCACCAAAGTGGTAAACATCTGACACCTGCCTTACATCGGGCTTTGCTCCGACATTAAACTGACACGCCGTGATATAACTGAAATACTGTAAAAAGCGGCGTTAAACCCTACTCATTCCCTCCCTATTATTGTAGGAGTTACGTGCGGCAGTACTAATTTGCCTTTACTGTTGTGATCTGTCATGTTGTTTGTCTATCGGGGATGAAATCTGAAATTGTGCCGAAGCTCTGAAGATAGATATGTAACTGGATCTATGGTCACCACGTTTTATTACAAAACAGTCATATTGAACACTGAAATTGTTCAAGAGCACTTTAATTACAACCTGTGCACGTGTGTTTGTTTTTAGTTCGTGCTGGTAATGTATGTATACACTCCACAACTACTAAATATAGCCCCTCGCAGTCACCTGATTGTCGATTCTCTGTCTGATTGTGACTTCATCATCAGACCTCAATGATGACGTTTATTCTCCCGAACATGGATATTTATTTGCAATTTTTTTCATTACAGTAAGAAACACAAGAATTTGGCTTTACACAATGTACCCATGTGGAGAATCGAACCTAGGCGTTCAGCTAGCCCACCGCTTCTCGTCCACTTTATAAGTATAAGTACACATGCTGCTGTCTTGTTTAATTAGTCACCAGGACATTTCGGGATTCTATTTCAAGTTGCGGGGATTATAATTGTTATTGGTGGTGTTCTTGTAGAAACTTCTTTAGGAAATGCATTAACACGATAAAAGAAAGTGACAACTCTTTTATGTTTTCAGTGAACACCATAACATCCACAAGTTAATAATGGAAGTACAAAGCCCACCACAGAATCCAGGCTCTGTTACTAACACATGTGAAAGAGAATTGTTGGAAACAGGTTATCTCAAGAAACACAGTGGAATCCAGCCTTATCAGTGTGTTGAATGTGGGAAAGAATTTGCAAGATTACCCTATCTAAAGAAACACATGAGGATTCACAGTGGAACCAAGCCTTATCAGTGCGTTGAATGTGGGAAAGAATTTACAGAGTCAGGTAACCTGCAAAAACACATGCGGATTCACAGTGGAATCCAGCCTTATCAGTGTGGTGAATGCGGAAAACGATTTACAGAGTCAGGTAACCTGCAAAAACACATGAAGAATCACAGTGGAATCAAGCCTTATCAGTGTGTTGAATGTGGGAAGGAGTTTACACGAGCATGTCACCTGCAATCACACATGAGGATTCACAGTGGAATCAAACCTTATGAGTGTGTTGAATGTGGGAAAACATTTACACAATCATGTCACCTGCAATCACACATGAGGATTCACAGTGGAACCAAGCCTTATCAGTGTGTTGAATGTGGGAAAGAATTTACAGAGTCAGGTCACCTTCAGAAACACATGAGGATTCACAGTGGAATCAAGCCTTATCAGTGTGTTCAATGCCGGAAAGAATTTACGGAGTCCGGTAACCTGCAGAAACACATGAGGATTCACAGTGGCCTCAAGCCTTATCAGTGTGGTGAATGCGGAAAAAGATTTACAGAGACAGGTAACCTGCAAAAACACATGAAGACTCACAGTGGAATCAAACCTTGAGTGTGTTGGATGTGGGAAAACATTTACACAATCATGTCACCTGCAGAATCACATGAGGATTCACACTCGAAAAACCAAACAGTATCAATATTTTAAATGTTAATGCTTTTTTTGCCACATTGACATGAATGTGAAATTTAACAGAAACGAAATGACACCATACCTGCCCTAGAGATAAATTTGCAGAAAATCAGAATGCGTTACCATGGCAAAATCTAGATAACCAATGCTTAATAAGTGCACTCGAGACGGCAGTATGTGTGTTACAATGCAGTTGAATTAAATCGCACTTCTCCCATCAACATCAGATCACAAGAGGCAGACACAAGTTGCCAAACCATATGCAACAGGACCATCATGAAAGGGTTCACAAGTTTCCAGGAACATAAACTTAGCTGCTGGTGAACAGTACTTGCACACATGAAATATCCTTGCATGGTCAATAACAATCACGCTGAAAGATTGCATTCCCTCACCAAAGACAAGAAAAGTCATGAATGACATAATGAAACTTATGAAGGAGATGGCCATGCTGGTTGGTCCACTGAGAGTATTTGTCACTGGTGACGAGGGTGTATTTGACGAAACATCAATGGTTAGTTCCAACACATTGTCTTCCATACACAGTTGCCTATGTAACATACCTGATAATGATAAGCATTTGTGCGGACCTAATATACATGTAATTGTATCAACTTTATCCTGTATGTGGACAATATGCAATCGAGTCGTGGCCTTTGTTTCCGGGGTATTTTCTTTCTGAGAATTTAAAACAATTAAGTGAGTAAGTGAGTGAGTATGTTTTTTTCACCGCTTTTAGCAATATTCCAGCAATATCAAGGCGGGGGACACCAGAAATGGGCCTCACACATTGTACCCATGACGGGAATCGAACCCTGGTCTTCCGCGTGATGAGAGAACGCTTTAACCACTAGGCTACCCGACCGCTCCTAAAACAAGTAAGAGATCCTGCATATAAAAGGGTTTATGTCTGTTTACTTTCAAACAGTTACATATTCATACTAAGAAGCAGAATGACAGTTTCCCGTATATATATATATATATATTAGTAGTACGTGACCCACAGCATATAACTGTCATGGTGGGTCTGTGTAAAGATGTGAAACGATATGTTCCATCACGAGCTGGTTTCATTCTCTTTGAGACCGCCTCCGTGGTCTAATGGTAGAGCGTCCGTCCGGAGAGCGGAGGGTCCGGGGTTCGATCCCCAGCCGCATCATACCAAAAGACGTTAAAAGATGGTACTTGTTGTTACCCTGTCTGGCGCTCGGCATTAAGGGACTAAAACAAGAACTGGTCGGCTCGGAGTCAGTATACTGTGTCTGAGTTGGGTATTCATGTTAAACTGCGGCATGGTATCTCAGTGAGCTAGCACTATAAATCGGCATCAGTCTGGACTAGAACAAGCAGCCACACAAACACACACACGTACATGCACGTCGCTATGTACGTGCATTAATCTTAAACCACATTTCACCTCACCATACCTTAAATGTATTTCAAGATCGTATCATACTGTCTGTTTGCATCATTACAAATAACATCAGTAAATAAATTGCTTTGTCAATATCTGATAGTATTAATTTTGGAAAGGAGTCACACATGTCCAAAATATCATCGGAAAGTAAGTTGTCCCGTTTGGTTACATCCTCGGCAGGAGAGTTGTCACGTGATCATAATGAACACCCAATTTCTGAATCAGTACCACAACGGCCATTATAAATAGACAAATTAAAAGCTGAGCAAAAATGAAGTAACCGAGTTCCTGTTTTGATTAATATTTCTTTTTAGACGAGCATGAGAAGTATAGTATAGTGTGTTGAAAGTGGAAACACATCTACAGTACCAGGTATGTTATCATGGTTCACATCATATTCATCAAATTGTGTATTGTCCCAGCCCTAGTTGTTATTGGTGGTGTTCTTGTGGAAACATATTTAGGAAAGTGACCACTCTGTTATGATCTTAGTGAACACCAGGGAATTGGCGCTTTAGATTCAAGTTACATTCTCAGACAAAAATCAGTTTCCCAGATTGTCCCACAATATTTCAATTTTCATAGAACCACCAACAGATTCATTTTTCTTTACGAATAACATGTCATCCAGGTTGTTCAGTTGTAGGAACGTGTTGCAGAACGTGAGCTTTTACTTGTGGCTGTCAAGACTCATCAGTAGTAACCTGCATCGGTCTAGGACCGCTCGGGATTCTGGGACCGCTCCAGATTCTGGGACCAAGATGGCGGCACATCCGTTTCCGGTCACGTGACCTGCACAGTGCATGATGGGATACCTGCACGCGCATCCAAGATGGCGTCGCTTCCGTTTCCGGTGGCGCACGCCTGCAAGATGGCGTCGCATCCGTGTCCGGTGGCGCGCGCATGCAAGATGGCGTCGCATCCGTGTCCGGTGGCGCACGCATGCAAGAGGGCGTCGCTTCCGTGTCCGGGGATGGGGGGAAAACCCGGAGAAGCGCCCGTACGAGGGGGAACAAGATCGACAGGGTTGTTGTTGTGGTGTGGTTCTAAACATAGAAATAGGCGTGGGGGTGGTGGTGGGGGTGGTGAAGGGAGGGAGGGAGGGGGAGGGGAGAAGGGGTGGGAGGGTCGTCAAAGCAAAGGAGGAAAAGCTGTCTTTCGGGAGAGATGGGTGGCCCTGAAAAGGGCCGTTGGAAAACAAACTGGAAACTGGAAACTGGAAACGGCAGGAACACTGGAACACTGGAAAAACTGCAAACGATGGGAAACGGGTAAAAACAGTGGGGCAGCATGACCCAGGCGTTAGTCACTTTGTTCAGAGGATTTCACTTCTCCATCCTCTACTTCCATCTCATCCTCGGACGGAAGGTGTCGTCGGCGCTTTGAAACGTGTTTTCGTGAGGGGGACCTGTTCCGTTTTCTTTTCTCTAGACGAGGTGTGATGCCTACCCGGAGTTGTGTGAGACATTCTTTTAGGTCGAGGACATCGGAATGCATGTCTTCGATGAGATGAAGCACTTGTGCCACGGGTGTCACGGGTGTCACGGGGGCCACGGGGGTCACGGTTGCCACGGATGCCACGGATGTCGACGTGGACGGTGTTGCTAACGTTTTCTTTCGACTGGGTTCTGGGCAATCTGCAGCGAAATGACCCAGGGCTCCACAGTTGTAACAGCGGTCCAGGCGATGGGGAGTCTTCTTTCGACGGGGTTCTGGGCAATCTGCAGCGAAATGACCCAGGGCTTCACAGTTGTAACAGGGGCCCTGGTACTGCTTCTCCTGCTTCTCCTGCTTCTCTTGACTGTTCAGCTTCGGACAGACATAGTGACGGTGACCTTGAGTGTGGCACTCGGTACATGTCACTTCAGGGCAGTACAGGTAACTGTGACTGTCGGTCTGGCACATCCTACAACTGTATCGAGTTGACATGATGGGTTTCATAGAATGCAGTGTGTGTGAGTGGCTTCGCTCTTGTTTTGTTTTTATAGGAGAGGCACTGACACCCTGCTTCCTGATTGGTTCCCCAGGCCGCGCCCCCCGATTGGTTCGTTCCGGGGCCTGGCCCGCACCTCGGTTTTCCAAAACGGACCGACCCCTGTGTTTCTTTTCCATAGGAAATGGATTTTACCATGGGAGAGAAAGCACAACCCCGGTTCGGCCAATCAGAGCCCCGCCTGGTCCGAGCGCCGCTTCTGATTGGTCGACCACCCAGGCTTCGGATTGGTCCGATTTCGATCCGGTTTTTATCGGGATGTGCATTTCGATCCTGTTTTGTTTTTTCTTCATCCTACAGACAACATAACACGACTATGAGTTTTTAACAAAAAATTTAATCCCCCTGATCACATGAACCAACACCACAAAACAAAAGTCACAGGATGAGGGGGGACATCCCTGTGATTTTTGTGAACACGAGGGATGGGGTGACCGCGAGGGTAGGAACGTCTGACCACTTTGAAAAAAAAAGAAAAGAAACGTTGTCACTTGGGGTGAACAAGACACTCGACTCTTCGTTTCCGTGCTTCTTGGGACACCAAACGTCTGTATTTTTCGTTCACTTCTCCATCAGGACAAAACACACACAAGTATTCGCAGGGGACTTTGGCATGCTTCAGATGTTCTTTCCAGGGTTGGTCTGTGGCTTCCCATTGGCGGAGTGCCACACCGCAGCAATAACAGGTCACACAGTCCCCTCGTCCTGGATAGAAATAGCCAGCCATGGCCATGTCATAAGGGGTCTGGGTCATCTGTTGAGGCCACGTTTTAAAAGACCTCAGACGTTCTTGAAATGAATCATAGTGGGGATGAGAAGGTTGACACAAGGTGTAAGAAGGAAAAGGTCTCTCCAGAACGTCACCGAGTCGACACCTGTCGTCCATCAAGAGTGTGTCGTCCATCAAGAGTGAACGTTTTCTCGCTTCTTGTTCTCTCGCCTTTTCAGACACCCACTCGGAATCTGTGACGACATCTCGGGAGGATGACATGGCATTCATAGAACGTCTTTGCTCCATGATGACGGTGACTTCACTGAAAGAAGGTCTGAGGGTTCGCCTGCTTTTATGAAACTCTCCACCCTACACCCTTCAACGGAAGGTCATGACTTTAGCTTTTATGAAACTCTCCACCCTACACCCTTCAACGGAAGGTCATGACTTTAGCTTTTATGAAACTCTCCACCTCCTCCACCTCATCACGTGACGTCATCCTGTGTTTGGGTTGACGGACACAAGGCATGATCCATGACATGATCCATGACATGACATGGCACACGGGGAGGGGTGTGGGGATGGATGCGTCCTGGAATGACTGACACCAGGCAGCTGATCTTTCAAGCATGGCATTTCTCTTTTATCTATTTTTATTTTAATGTTACACTTTGGTGTGCACTGACATGACAGAGGCACAGACAGACAGACAGACAGACAGACGGACAGACAGACGACGTCAACGACATCTCAACTCAACCTCTACCCTCGGTTCGGCACTCTATTGGAGTTGAGATCAATCAAGACACAAAGAGTCAGTTCAATCAATCACTGTTTAATCATGAAAAAAACCAATCACAACCCGATACAATGGAAATACGAAAAGTCAATGGAGGAGGGAGTGCTTTGCATGTCCCTACAACCACCGCCACAACAACAACAACAACAATAACGCGACAACGTTTTCCTCTTCCATCTTCAAGCTCTTCCATCTTCAAGTCCCTAAGAGGGGGTCCTCCCTCAAACCTGTGAGAGGCCCCAACCGTTCAACACGTACAGTCTATGGCCTCCCTGAAACAGACATGACACATCACTTGATCACGGTTGCAGCTGACGTGTTGACAAAGTTCTTCGAGTGAAGAGGAGGATCACCATAAGATGTGATCCTCAGATGCGATAGGCATGTCATCATGTGTCACTATGCTGTCATAGGTCAACATACTACAAGTACAGTCTATGAGCTCCAGCTCACAGGCATGACACATCACTTGCCCGCTGTTGCAACTGATGTATCTTAACATGTTGTTGTGTCGGCAAACACGACATTCGCTTTGTAGGGGAGTGAGTTGAGCTTCTCCATAAGGATCCAGGTCAACGTTGTCATCATCATCATCATCGTCGCAAACCATGGGCGTACCTGAGGAGTAGACATGAACCTCTTCCGGGGATGCTGGTGACCAAGAAGCCTCGAGCAGGGGAAGCGTGTCCAGATCCATGGAAGGGAGAGTGGCCATCTTGAGCGCTTCATGATCATCGAGGTCACCCGTCGCCATCGTCACAGGGGCATGGGGAGTGTTGCCGTTGCTGTGGGGGTCACCACGGCTGTGGGTTTGCGTGTCTTTTTCTTCTGGATCTTCTTGATCGTCTTCTTCGATGTGCCTTTCTCGGGTTCAGTCAGCTTCCTCATCTTTGAACGTATCTGGTCGCACATCAGGTTGTCGCCCTTCGCACGTAACTTGGCGTACGCGTCGTCGGTCTTCATCTTTAAACACAGCAAGTCGTACACTTCACCCCACAGTTCAGCAGTCATGTTACCGTTCCCCTCTCCACTGCTTCCTTGGCCACTCATGTCGCTTCGTGTCTTGTCATTCAACCGTTTCGACATGATGTTGTCCGGATGTTCTGTTCGTTGTTGTTGTTGTTGTTGTTTCTTTCCAAGTCTTCACGGAGGCACGTCAACACTTGATGGTACTCTCTCCAAACACGCGTTTCTTCCAGATAAAACACCAACAACCAACACAACGTGAGGAACATCAATCAGAGGGGACGATGTTGTTGCTTGGTCCGTTCAGTGAAAAGTGATGACCAGAGAGCGTCGGTCGTATTAAAAGCCACGGAGGTCCTGCTTTCTGATTGGCCCGTTCCGGGGCCTGACTTTCACCTTGGTTTTCCGAACTGGATCGACCCTTGTGTTTCTTTTCCATAGGGTTAGGCTTGTAGCGTGAGAGAGAAAGCACAACCTCGGTTCGACCAATCAGAGGCCACCCTGGTTCGAGCGCGGCCTCTGATTGGTCGATCATCCAGGCTTCGGATTGGTCCGATTTCGATCCGTTTTTTTCTGTAGGGGTCCATGTCGATTCAGTTTCGATCCGCTGTCATGAAAATTTTTAGTGAAAGTCGTCTCTGTACCCAAAGGGGAGCGTGTCTACAGGTAGCCCTGTGATGTCGTCGTAGACGATGCGTCGCTTGTCGTACACGGTACGATAGTCTTTTCGGGTGGGTCGGGTCACGAGTGCGTTTTCGTGCCGAGGGCCTTTTCGAATGATCTGATGAGGGTAATCCAAACTGATTTTCTCCTCCTCTTTCCCAGGCCGTTGTCCCAGTATCAGTCCTTTCATGGTGTCAAAGTTGAGATGGCGTTGGTTTCGGTAATTCAAAGTGAACCCTCGCACTTTGCAGGTCGTGCGCGTTCCATCGGGTCTGGGGTTCATTAACTCGTAGCCATAGTTTTTGGGGCCTCCCGACACAAACGTCTTGATGGTGTTTCCGTCCAGTTCATCCGTAAACTCACCCAACGAATGACCCAGATCTGGATTCGCGTTGTGGGGTCGATGAATGTAAATGACGCTGTCCGTGTCAAAGTACAAGACCCTGCGGTCCACCAGGGCAAGGGTCTCGTACAGCTTGAGACGTGCTTGGGCGGTGACCCAAGCAGCGATGGCGACGTTGAAATGAGAATGAGGGGTTTGGAATTCTTTCTGCTGGGTATAGGTCACTTCCACCATGTGTTCGTTGACCACGACCACATCCTCGATGGTATTGCGTTCATCCCTCCACAAGGCAAAGTACTGTACAGGATCGTTCATATACACGTTCTGACTGTAGTCTACCCGTTGCCCAAACTTGCCCCAGAGCGAATTCAGTTGCATCTTGGCAATCGTGCGACGTCCTGGATTTTTTTCGATGCGGTCCTTGTCCAACCCAATGCCTTCTTTGTCGTAGATCTCCTGGATGTACGCGTCGTGATCCGTACATCCTTCGGGGTATCCGCTGGCTTCGAGCTTCTCCTTGAAATGTCGATCGATGTAAGTGTCAAAGAGTCCCACTTGCTGGGTGTCGGGGTCATGCTGTGCAAAGGTGTCAAAATGCCAAACGTCGTAGATCTGAAGCACCCGGTAGTCATACTTCTTCACGGCTTCCTGGAGTTCTACGGTGGCGTACGTCCCCACCCATGACCTCTCTTCGTCCGTGTGCTCGCAGGGGGAGTCTGACCGGGTGTCGGCACACGTGCGGCACAAAGGACAGAGCAGTTTGCCACCCGATCTGTAAGGCAGTAGCGGATGGTAAAGTCGTTTCGGGGGTAAGACACGGCATTGGATCAGGCCTTTCAGTTCAAACAACGTGTCCACAGGGGGTTGATGGAGAAGGGTCGGGTGTCCCGTGGGAAACGCTCCGGTCTTACAAATGTAGGGGTAAAGGGAACAAATATCGATGTACTTGATGGTTTCACCTTCTTGGGCTTCGTAGCATAATCGCGTCGCATTGGTGCGTCCTCCATAGAAGGCGTCGCGAGGGTTGAGCGGCCCGGGGACGTGGATACAGCGGGGTCCCTGCAAGAAAGCACGTAGAGCGGAGTCCTCCCGTTGCATTTTCGTAAACTCGTGCTCCCACAGGGTGACGATCCGTTTCACCTCAGGGTGTTGACTCAAGAGACTCAAGCGGTAGTGGGTGTCGGTGTAACGGGCTCCCAACGACGAGCCCAGGACGGGATGCAGTTCTCCACGTTGGGTCTTGTGACAGGTCTGGCACCCATGCCAGAAACAGCCCAGGAATTCGTAGACGGTGCCTGTCGCTGGATCGTAGCCATCCACGGTGTACCGATGTTGACCCCCTCCACACGTGAACTCTTTTTCACCGCCATTCCTGGCGTGCTGGAGGTGCAGATGGGGATCCGTTTCCATCAGATAGTGGAGCCAGTGCATACAGGCCTGAGAATAGTTTCTCTTGGGTTGGTAGCCTTGAGGTGGGAGAATGGCGATGGTATTGGGTTTCAGGTCGTGTTTTCGGAAGGATTTGATGGTGAACGCTGCAGCTGTCATCACTTCCACAAAGGGATCCATGCCCACCGAGTGAATGGCGTTCTGTCGGAAGTCGGCGCATCCCCGTCTCAAAATGTCCACATCGCTTTGGCAGTAGGTTAAAAGTTCTCCTTGTAAGTCGAACAAGGCTCCTTCTTGCACTTTTTGGGTATGCCACTGGAGGAAGGCTGTGCGTTCTGCGGGAGACATGCCATCGGGATCGTACGTGACGGCTGGTGGATAGGGACCTCTGTAGGTTTGGTTGACTCTCGTATTAAAAAAGTGTGGAAAGTACCCTTTCTTCATTTCTTTCAGCCCAAAGCTCTTGGGAAAGGCTTTCAGGGGGTAAGGGATGAAATTTAAGCTGTCTTCGAAACATAACCGTCCCAGGGTCATTTGCAAAATTTGTTGGCCATGTCGGATCTTGGTGGGGAGTGTCACCAGGAGGGGGGACAGACCCTTCAGGACTAAGTGTAAATCATAGGATCGTGCATTATGGGCCATCACATAAATGCGATCCTCCTTCGGGACTGTATGGCAGGAGGTGTTCTTGTTCTTTGGCTTCGTTTTCTCCACTTCCATGACCTCTTCCCCCTCTTCCCCCTCTTCCATCTCCTCCCCCTCTTCCACCTCCTCCTCCCCCTCCTGCTGGGGTGATGCCTGTCGTTTGGAAGCGTGCTTTCTTGAGGGGGTGTCATCCCGTTTTCTTTTTTTCCCCAGGTGAGCTGTCGTCCCCTTGCGTGTGCTGCCCTCCTCTTCCTCTGGGTGGGGCTTCTTCTTGGGTATTTCAGACAACGTGGTCAACCACACACACACATCATGTCGCGTGGTGGGGCCTCGAAACACGATCTCACGGCTGGGACCATACCCTTCTTCTCTCCATGGACAGTGTTCGCACAAGTTCTTGCTCACTTCACTGATGCATCGTCCACATCCTAGTTGCACCACGCACAAATTTGGAATGTGTTCCCCCGTGTCTTGCATGCATTCAAAATCGTAGAAGGCGTATTGAACATGGTCTCGTAGGGGATGTTGTTCCTCTTCCCCCTCCTCCTCCTTCTCCGCTTCCTCCCCCTCCTCCCCCTCCTCCTCGTTTTCTTCACGGAGAGGCGTCATGTAACAGCGATGATCTGGGGTCATGGGTTCTCGGCACACCAAGCAGGGATGATCTTCGTCGAAGCACGCGTGGTGAACCATGGGGGTCTCCAAGACGCGGACCAGCTGAAAACAGTTCGGGCACCTGTGAATCGATTGACAGACGCTGGGTTTTCCCTCTGACGGTGACTGGAGATGCCGGGTGTAACACGTTGGATTGGGGAACCAACCTTGACATGTCAAGCAAGGGATCCCGTGCTCTTCCTGGGGTCCGCAATAACTAGAGTAGAAGCAGCGGTGACAGCGGTATTCCTTGGTGCAGGGATGTTTTTCGGGATGGTCGTAACGTTTGTCACAGCGTTCGCAGTAATGGTTAGAGCCATAAAAAGCGGGCATGGAAGTGATGACATCGTAGTGCTGATCATGATGGTAGAGATGCAGCACGGTGGCGTGGGGTGGAGTCTCATCACACTTGTACAACAGTCTCTGACCCACCTCTTGACTGTAGACTTTCAGTTGATAATGCAGGGGGGCCAAGGCCCGTCCCACGCGTGCGAGGTCGTCCAGACCCCGACAGGGGCCTTCGGGCAGGCCAAGGCTTCGACACAAGGCCCGTGCCCGTATGCCTTGAACGTCGACGCGATCCGTTCTCGTCAGTCTCTTTCGCTGGGCGGTCCATGCTGGGGTCAGAGGGTGAGGCTGGTGGGCATAATGCTGTGCCACCACCAGGGCCCGTGCCAAACAGGATTGATCTTGGTTGTTGATCCGTACGATGCACTTTTTGCGTGTTAAAAAAGCTTCGAGTCCAATCACGTTTTTCAGTCGGAGAGGGCCACTGCCCGATCCTAGCCTGTTGGGATCTGCGACGTGTACTAAGGTCACATCCATGGTGGCATCGATGTTCAGGTCTTTGTTGGACTGTTGGACTTTTTCCACGGCTTGCAAAATATCGAGCCCATGGAGATCTTCAAAACGTCGAAAGAGAATCCGTATGGGGGTGTTCAAAGCGGGATGATCGATACCTAGACCAATACGATCTCCCTTCTGACCTGATATCTGTTCATAAAAGTCATCGATCACCCTGTCAAATAAAGCTGGCAGTTCCATGGGGACGCGTTCCGGTGGTACGGTGTCCAAGTAGTCTGGGTTGAAAGTCAAACGATAAG